ATATATATATATATATATAAACAAAACAAAAAAACTTGCTTTTCTTCTCTTCACATCCTCCTCCTCCCCCTTTCTATTACACCCAACACCGTGCGTTAATTTATTTTGAAAATAATATAGTGCTTAAAAAAAAAAAAAAAAAAAAAAAAAAAAAAAAAAGGTTAAGAGGTCATTTGAAAAAAATCGACGAGGATACTGTAAGGTTGAAACCAAGGTAACGAATTCAACTGATCTCCTGATTTTTAAAGTTAAAAGCTCTTACACATTTTTAAGAATTTCTTTTACAAGTCTTAATAAACCCATAGTTGGGGGAAGAAGAGATGATTCATATCTTTCCCAAGAGTATTTGTGTGAAGGAATATAACAAATCCAACAGCAAGTGGAACTCCTCTCTGATTAACAATTCCAAGCCATTATCATTACAATACCTGCATATCCAAACTTACAGCACCTGGTATTCCCCAAAAAGAGAATTATGCATAATCTGATGTATATCAGCATAGATAGCTCAAATTCTAAGTCTGTTGCATTCAATTTCACACGTATACCCTAAGTAAAGGGAACAAATGTTTCTCTCCCCACCACCAACTATAGGGTAGCAGTAAGTCTAAGAGAATGAAACTTTGAATTAAGTCAAAGAGAACAGGAAACCATCCCAGATATTGAAAGAGGAACCTGTGGAGAGCCATAATCATCACCTACATTCAGAATGAAAAAAGGTAAAGACATTTTTACAAAATCTCCACGAAAATGTCAAAAGTAGGCAAACAATACCGAAGGTTTTAAAACCAAAAAGCTTTTATTTCAAGCTGATAGATTAAATTTAATATTTCCAATAAGCAAAATATTTTGGTATATTTCAAAAACTAGTTTAAATTGACTGACTGGAAGGAGTTTATTTTGAAATCGTTAGTAATCAGTGATTTTAGTTATTACAATGCAAATCTCTCTCTATTGAGAAAAAAAAAAAAAAAAAAAAAGAAGAGAGAAGTCTTTCAAAAATAAAATATACTTTCAGAAACTTTGAGGAATATTAGTAGATTTAAAGTTTAATCAATCTGATTTGAATAGCTACCTCCACTAATTCTCGATACTTAAGGTTTAAAATTTAAAAAATTTAAAAGCTTTCATTGAAAACTAAAGGATTAAATTTACTATTTCCAGGAAGCAAAATACTCTGTAGCCTTCTTTGAAAAATAATTTACTATTTGGAGGGGAATTTAGACTAAGATTTAATTCTAAACATTAATTACTATTTTGAAAGACTAGAAGCAAGATACATTGATAATTTAGTTCAGAAAAGCAATTATGCTTAAATTTCAAATATTTGTATTTGAAAAGAAAAAAACTTTAGTTAAAAAAATTAGCAGAGGCAGACATGACAGAGTCAACATTAGTCATGTTGAATACTTGTTTTACAAATTTAACTATATTTTATTTAAAAAAAAAAAAAAAAAAAAAAAAAAAAGAAAAAAGAAAAAAAAAGCTCCCGATAATTTTTTTGCTTTAATAAAACGTAATTGAAAATTTACATTTTTTATGTTAGTTACAAAAAAAAAAAAAAAAAAAAATTATTAAAAACCGAATAAAATCATTTTCCATAAGATGGCCGAAAAATATTAATACACACATTAATTATTGTAGTTTTTTTTTTTTTTTTTTTTAACCAGACACATGCACACACTCAAATATTTGAATAAATAAATATTTAACTTTTGGTCAAATAATTGTATTTAATATTCTTTTAAATTTGCTTTGTTTAATATAAATTTTTTTTAAAGTTACGTTTTTATTATTTACATTATTCAGACTATTGTCCTCATCTTTGTCGCCATATTTAGTACGTTTTGGCCACTGTATTCTCCAACCATCTTCAGGTGGTTGGAATGTTGAACTGAACCCTTTATTTCGCTCACTGGGGTAGATGTTTAATGGATGTCAGTTATCAGTTATCTCCTGTTAATTTCCTCAAGGATACAGGACAGTAGATAAAGGCATTAGTTAAATTCAGTGACAGGCCCCAAAGAGTGTGAGTTCAATATCCAGCAGTGGAGAACTTTCAGAGGGGAATTAACAGGAGATAACTGACATCCATTAAACATGGCATGTGGAACGAGAACAGACTACCCCAGTGAGCGAAATAAAAGGTTCAGTCCGACATTCCAACCACCTGAAGAAGTCCGGAGAGCACAACGGTCGAAATGTAATAAATATGGCAACAAAGATTAGGACAATAGTCCGAATAATTGTAAATAATGTACATAATACCTCATCTCAGAAATATAGACAGTTATGTTTTTATTTACATATTTAATATGCCATGAACTAGTTTTTTTTTTTTTTTTTTTTATATATATTTATATATATATATATACATATATATATATATATATATATATATATATATATATGCATGCATGCATGCATGCATGCGCGCACCCCCTCTGCCCTTTATGTATAGATCTTGCAAAAAATATAATTTTCCAAAACTGAGAAATAGATGATTTAAACTTTAATCAGAAATGATTAAAAAAAAAAAAAAAATTTTTTTACTTTAAGATGAAAATAACAAATGGATTTTTAAAACACAGTAGCAGTGATTTAAGCGCTCTTTATAGCCTGTCAATTACTGATAAGGTGCTGACAGGTTTATTGCTGTTCTACAGAGACCTCATCTGTTCATAATGCAAAAAAATGACGGGTGAACAATTTTTAAGTACTCAATAATATTAAAAATGTTGGAAATATTCTCTGTAATCTAATTGTAGCAATGTTGTCTTTAAATTTAATATAGACATTGATCTTATTTTCTGATAATGCTGTGTATAGTCATCCATACTTTAAAAATGGTCATGTTTATGTGCACATTAAAAAAATAAAAAATTTTAAATCTTAGTGTGATGATTTTCAATTTTTGCTAAGTGAAGTTATTGAGTGACGACTAACAGGGATAAAGTTTTGAACCTTTATAAATTATTATAATAATAAAAAAAGTTAAAATTTCCTATACCAATCTTTCCACTGATATGGGGGGGGAACTTTACCAAAATCTTGAATGTTCTAAAAAGTACCAAAAAATCCTCTGGTCTTTTCTCATAATAACAAGGATTTTGATAAAACTTTTTGTTTAAGTTTAGGGTATTTTTTCATCTTGGCATGCTCATTTTTTTTTTCTATGGCAGTACCTACCCAAAAGGTAATAAAATAGATATCAATTTTGTTTGCCTGTGTAGTGTCGAGAAAGGGGTGAATCACAGGGAAAATAGGATATACATTTCAGTTCACACCCCTCAGAACAGAAAACACACACACACACACACTTCCTTCATGATAATCTAAGTCTTTATTCTTGAGAGCTTAAAAAGAAAAAAAAATTTTAAGGCACAAATAGATTAAAGTTACTTTGTACAAAGTTTGGTAAAAACAGTTAATGCGTCAACCATTTTGTTCTCTCTCGAGCAATGTCTTGCTAAAAAAAGAAGGGTCAATAACGATTAGCCAAATGCTTATTTATTTCCAATCACAACTGAACCTAACCACTTTGTCAGCCCTCGAAATATATGTTGTATAGTAGAAATTAACTCCCTCGTTGCACCTTTTAAAAACTATTAAAATTTATTAAAAAAAAATCCCCTCAGACATTAAAACTTTGATTAGAATAAAATTAATAAAAATTACGTCTTGTAAATAAAGTGTCGAAGGCATTATGAGATGTATAAGTTCAGTTCAAATTTGGTTATATTTGCGCGTGACTAAAGTAGGATTTTTTTTTGTTTTTTAAAAGATTTCTTTATATATTTGATATTTTAAATTTCGAATTAAAAAATTTTAATAATAATAATAAAAGTTACAGCTTTATGCTAGGTATATAGTTATAATTAGTTGTAATCAGTAATATTTGGCACGTGAGTAATAATGTATTGTAGGATATTTTGTTTTGTCCAGTGGAATTGTTATTTATATAAAAATATTCTTCTAAAATTGGCCGAATACCAAAATATTCCTAGATGGTAGCTAATTTATTACATTCTTTCTAATAATAAATAAAAAAAAAGCAAATGTCTAAGACAAAAAGTTTTAAGACTAGCTATAAATGAAAGGCAAAAATATCTTAAATACTTTTCCCATGCAAGTGTTGAACAGGTTCTGGGGCATCGACATATACAAGGGTCATAAAGCGCGCCAAACATCGACTTAAAAGACGAATACATTTTACACTGTTTTAAAAACTTTATTAAAATAGATATTCTACCTCAGCACATATCGAAAGTGAATAAGCGTTTAAGGCGAAGAAGACTGACCGTTTGTCGCTTTTACAAATAAGCATAAAGACGGGGACTTTTATGCAATTTACTACGGGGAGGGGGGATAAAGAAATTAAAAAAAAAAGTTATGGTTTTAATTAAACTCCTCCGGAAAGAAAATACAAATAGCTACAAATGGAAAAAATATATATACTGAAGATGCCTCAAAAAGAAAGAGGAAGAAAAAGAATTCAAATGAATTTTAATAGTTTGTTCATCTTCTTAAATTTCATAAGTTTGGGTCGTATTAAAACACGGCCAGCAATGAAACATCGTTACAAAATCGTTGAAATAGCTCAATTGCTATCTCTTGAGAGACATGGAAGTATTATTTACCTTTTCATCTGCCATTTTTGACGCTGATGGTAACTGATTCTTGAGGCTCACGCGTTCGATGATAGAAGTCTTTTATATCTGTTTTCTTGACACACGATGACCAATTCCCGCTGATTTCAAAATGAGGGTATTTATAAACTGGCCACATTTTAGTTTCGTAACTTCGACACGATTTCTTTATTTAACTGATCAATAAATTACTAGAAAACATTAGAAAAATAATTCTAAAACCTCACATTCTAAAAGATTTAACTGTGTAATTTTGTTGCTTTAAAAAGAAATCTTAGAAGATTTTAATTTAAGACTAATTTTAAAATATAATCTTATTTTGGTGCTAGCTCTGTTGGAATAGTTTCCAATATGGTCGCTTCTTGGTAAGAACGTGGTTTAATTTTAACACACAATTATTATTAACAACATTTTTAAGGCACGATGTGAGTATAAGTTTTAATATTTATGGTTTATTTATTTGTTTTCAATTTTACTTCTCCTTGCTTCTCAATATGGATCACGCTTTCTTTCTTTTTTTTTTTTTTTTTTTTTTTTTTTTACTGTATTTCATATTACAAATACGCTTAAAAAGTTTTAATGAAAAAAAAAACTTGAGTTTATAAATGAAACCAAAAAAATGTATTGTTTATTACGGACAGTCTTGTTCGTTATGTAACTTAATGCATAAAGAAATCCTAGAAAGGGGAATATTTAGCTAAATAAACCATATGGTTCTGAATTAAACTAGTTTTTTAACATTATCGAACTCATGAATTAAGGACAGAATGCATTTTTTTTAAAACAATTGAATTAAGCTTGACTTCAGTACGAATAATGGTACTGACAGAAAGTTATGTCAATTACGCATTTTATGCTAAGGTTCTAGTGCATTTTAAATTTTAATCTTCATTTTTTTTTTTTTAAACTAATGGTTACCCAATACAAGGCTCAAGATCCACTCAAGGTAGTGAGTTTCTGTACAAGGTGTGTAATATGAATGAAAGAGAAAGTAGATGGAAGTGAAGATTATGGGGATAAGAAGGATAGATAATGAATGATTGACCCTTGACTTGAAGAGGTCAAAATTGTAGCATTTATAGAATCATCTGTGGTGAATACAAAATAGAAATATCTCTCTTTTCTCCACTGTTTTCAAATTCGTGAGTCTGTGCGAAAATTTATTTTGATCAATGGAAAATGGAGCAGCTTACAAACAGAAAAAAGTAACGAGCCAATGTGAAATCACTTTTTGATATAAAATAGGCGAAGAAAGTTGAATCAGGAGAGAGAAGCAGCACAGTTCCACATGTCTGAATAATGCCAGTGTCAAATTACATGCTAATACATTATTAACCTCTAATGAGAGCAGGGCAATTTCAAAGAACACTATTCAATTCCAAAGCTAAGTACCTTAAAATATATATTGTCATTCATAGTGAATACAGCCTTATAACTTTTATGCAAAAAACAAACTCTCTCAATTTGTTTTAAACATCTTGGGATGTTACTTTGTGTTTGATGATTTGATATGAACACTTCCTCTTTGTGACAATTCATAAAATCTGAACTTTTAATATTTGATTCCTTTTCTGATAAAAGCTACTGACAACTTCAAGTGTATAAATTTGTAAATAAATTCCTTATCTTGTTTTGTTAAATATAACGTGTTTCCTTGTCATCAATACTTCACATCTACATACAAGACTGTTTCATAGGGTAGAGGCTCTTGAGATAAACTGGAACTATTTGGAATACAGAAGAAATGTAGGTGATTTGACTCCTTGGATGTAACATGGCTAGTACTAGCTATAATAGTCTGAACTGGTGGAACTAAAGAATGGACCACTCACCTGAACATTTACCAATGAAATAACAATAGAATAGTGATATGTTGTGTCTGTGAAAGAGGCTGCAAGGAGAAAATAAGACTGTATAAACAATTTGAACTCTATCAAGGCTCAAAAGTGAGAATTGAACAGCTCCAGTCCTGATATAGCAACAATACTCCATTTTTGATCTATCCTGGGTTTTGTAAAGATAGAGCATTGCAGAAGGAGTCAGGTATTTTTTTGATCAGTTAAATGTGCTAACCCATTTTCCAGCATCTTTCACAATGGATTGGATATCTGAGTGTAACAAAGGAGAAAATCATCCACCTTGGAAAAGAGTTTGTGTTTTGTGCGTGGTCTGTCGAAGGAAAAATAAAGAAAATTGTTAGCATGAACCTGCCACTTTAAGTATCAGAAGAACTATTCTCATATTCTTTCCTTCCTGACTAGTGTGGCCAATCCGAAAAATTACTCTGTGAATAAAGGCCGTTGCTTTTGATGAACAAGGACAAAACAATTTTTGAGCTTGGTGATTGAAAGTATGTTTCCTCTGTTGTGAGTGAAAGGTTGGATTTTTAAAACTGTTGTTGATTTTTAGTAAGGAAGTTTATACATGTAAACTTCTTTTGTATCAGAAACAGGAAACATCAATGATAATTATTTTTCTCTAGAAAATATACTTGTTTTGCAAATATTTTTATATAGTCAAATGAATAAATTTGAAACAAATCAGACGCATCTGTGTGCGTAAGTCATTCTGTCAGCAGTGATAATATGATACCAAGATTGGGTTGTTAAGGCTTTGGTGTCTTCTTTTTTTAACAAATTCTCATCAATTTCTCTTTCTATGAATTTTTGGCTGTACATTTCCAGAAAATTCAGCTGCTCAACATCTGGCCTAATGCTCCACTCTACAGCAAACAGATTTGATGGAATAGGAAAAGTCAGCCAGGTTTTTGACCCGTACGCATTCATACGAGATGAATGATATGACCCTTAACCCCGGCACAATTACATTCTATCTCTCTTCGTTTTTTTTTTTTTTTTCTCTCTCATGCTAAAGTCTTATATTGCTATATTGACGTCTTCCTCCCAATGATTTTCAACCAGTGTGCTATGAGAGGATTGTATGTACACCACAAAAATATTTGAAAGATTATTAATTAAATACTGGGCAGCTCCTGTCTATATATGGCAGAAGTATTCCATTTTTGTCCTGATCTGGTTCTTGTAGAGGCTAACAGGAGGAGTCAGATACTTACTGGAGTTGTAGATGGGGACCAACCGTTTTTCAAAAAGTCTAGATACCATAGCGAAGAGCTCATCTGAATAATTACCATGAAATTATTTATAAAAAATGGCGGAGAGAGACAACTTTGCAACAATGGAAAATAAGGAATTGGCCCCATATAGCCGAAACCACAAATAGTAGAAGTATCCTCTCACAAAAATTGATTTTCCCAGATATCATAGCTTGGGACGGTAGGGATCTGGGGGACAGCAATGCAGGACCAAACCATGTGGAAAGGGATTGTCAATGAAATTCTGTCAAGCCAGAGGGAGGTCATAGGAGGAGGAGGAGGGAGAGACAGGTACTTATTGGAATGGTGCAAGGAATTTAACATTTTTCCAGCATCTTTATGTATCTGTCATTTAGTTTCGTTTAATCCTTTAGGCCAGATACTGAATAAATGTCTGTTTTAGGGAAATCTGTAACAAAGTGGAAAGTTTTTGTGTGGCACATTCCATCCTTTAGGACGTAATCAGACTGTACATTGAAAATTTCAAATTGTTCAATATATATTTTGGTCATTGTGGCAGAGTGGATAAAGGCGTTAGTTAGATCCAGTGACAAGGCCCAAAGAGTGTGAGTTCAATACCTGGTTAAGGCAGTAGAGAACTTGGAGAGGGGAATTAATAGGAGATAACTGACAACTGGCATCCATTAAACATGGCACATGGAAACAGAACAGTCTACCCCAGTGAGTGAAATAAAGGATTCAGTTCGATATTCCAACCACCTGAAGAAGGCTGGAGTGTACAACGGCTGAAATGTTGTGATAAATATGGCAACAGAGATGAGGACAATAGTTCAAATAATGTAAATAGTATGAACTGTAATATCTTGGATTTTGGTACTGGCCTTCTATCTTTTGCTATGATTAATAGATTTGGGTGAGAAAATATCACAAATGCTCATAACGCATTTGCCGAAATAACACTGGCATTTTTCAAACTCCATCAGTATAAAATATGTATTTCTCTATTTCAGTTGACTTTGTACAAATTGTAAACATCACAAATGGATGAAGAAAAGAACAATAATGTTAGTTGCAGTGACCATGAACCAGTGACCTCATCTTCCCTTGATGAATCTCAGGAAGTAGGCAAAGAGTCAGCAACATTGGACCCAAGCTCTGCACCAGAGTCTACCCACAGCCAATCTGCAACATCTGATGTCAGCAAAAAGGCTGAAGAGAAAAATAAAACCGATCTCTTGCTACAAAAGGAGGAATATTCATATATTCAACGTGATGAATTTACTTCAGAAATATTCAAAATTGAAATCCAACACATGCCAAGGTTTGGTTTCTCTGTAAGTAAAACATCTTTTCATCCAAATTTATTATAGATCTATTGTATCTATCTACCTTTGGACTAATTTCCTTTTCTTTGTTGTTATTATCACAATAATAGGAGTAGATAGGTTTGTCTATCATTCGGTTCACAATCCTCCTTGTTTTTTTTTAACAGGAGTAGAGGTTTGTCCATTGTTTCCAGCTTCTGTTAAAGTCTAGAAATCAGCTCTATACTTCTAACACTTGTCTTTTTCTATGCTAATATGTCCACTTTGTAACCCTCTACCTTGAGTGGCTCTTGTGCCTTGTATTGGTGAACATTAGTAAAAAAAAAAAAAAATAATGATAATAAAAAATAATGCAATCAATATTATCATTATTTGTTTTTATGTAAACCTTTCTTGATATCTAATCTTATATATGTCTATATTTCTGAGATGAGGTATTGTAACTACACTATTTACATTGTTTGGACTACTGTCCTCACTTTCATTGTCACATTCACAACATTTTGGTCATTGTATGCTCCAACAATCTTCAGGAGATATTTATTTGAATTTAAAACCAAATCCAGAATAGTCAGTCTGTACGTTGGTGTTTCTAAAGATTGGTTCAATGACGTTTGTGTAGATGTTCTTCCCATGTTTATTTTCTGAAATGGACTGACATAGGACATTCACATTCCTGAGTCCCTCAGTAAAGTCACTGAGAATTTGTTCTATTTTCTCTGCCCACTGCTTGCCCATATCGTGACAGGGATTGTCAAAGTTCAAGTTCTTTTCCTACAGTTTGTTGTTGCCCTGCCATTCATAGATGGGAGATGCAGTTCCAGTGCAAAAGCTATCGCCTATATTTTGTTTCTTGTGCATTGGTGTACAATCCGCATGCTATAGATTTTTTTCCAAATTGACATAGCTGTGCTGGTTGATTTGTTGTGCTTTATGTCTTCATGGAAAAAAATTTTAATTTTCTTTGAATGGGGCTGTCTTCTGCGGTTTTTATTCACACTTGAGTCCATCTAATGCTTTTGTTGGCTTTAGTCAGGACAAAATTGTAACTAGTCTGACCAATATAGAACATATTGGAAAAGTCAATATGGCTATTTGTAGCAGTAGGTAATGAAGAGGACTCCATCCTTAAATTGCATGAAGGTGCCTAATTCATGTCTTGGTTCTAACTAACGCCTTTATCCTCTGTGCCATGTCTTAGCACAGAGGATAAAGGCGTTAGTTAGACCCAGTGACAGGATCCAAAGAGTGTGAGTTCAATATCCGGTTACGGCAGTGGAGAACTTGGAGAGAGGAATTAACAGGAGATGACTGACAACTGACATCCATTAGACATGGCATGTGAAACTAGAACAGTCTACCCCAGTGAGCTCAGTTCGACATTCCAACCACCTGAAGAAGGCTGGAGTGTATAACAGCCGAAATGTTGTGATAAATATGGCGACAAAGATGAGGACAATAGTCCGAATAATGTAAATAGCGTACGTAATACCTCATCTCAGAAATATAGACAGATACCAGAGTTAAATTCATCAGCAATAAATACAGATGGATGTTTTCTAAGTTGGATTTAATGTTGATATTAAATTACATGTATAATTGCATGGTAATTCAGCTTCGCATGTTTGGTAGGGAACAAAAAAAAGCACCGGACAAACTAATCATGCAGATTATATTATGCTAAGGAACGTAACTGGTATTGAGTTTCTGAGTTATCTCCCATTTTAATTTAATTTTTTTTATTTATTTTTATTTTTATTTTTATTTTTTATTTATTTATTTTTTTTTTTTTAAGACAAGCCTAACATATATAATAATTTTATTTATGTCAAGTATGTAAATAATGTTGTACACTCTGGCCTTCTTCAGGTGCCTGTCGATCTGGGTAACCTAGAGTAAGTGGCCATGGTTAAATGTAAATAAATGGCAGGGCTGCCCCACAAACAATGACAAGTTTTAAAATAACAAGGCAAAGAAAGAAAAGGACAAAGAAATAATATAAAGCAAGCAAATAATATATGCAAGGCAAATTAATAGTAATATGACTAAAAGTTCACAAACTAAGAATTGGGGTTTACATGCAAGAGCAAATTTGGATAAGCTAATGTAGCGTTCTGACTTCAAGACAAAACAGACTGGGGCTGAGTCAAATGAAACCAAAAACCTATTTTATTTGCTAGGAAGAAATCCCAGCATGCATTTGTGTACTTCTGCCTATAAAATGGAGTAGAGGAAAGTATTTTGTAGCCATTCCCTGTAGAATTGGAATCAACACCATTATTTAATTGGGATAGTGTTGGTAGATTCTTCTTGTTCCATTGCCTATGTTGAGGGGTGTCCTGGGTTAGATGATAAACTGCATCCAACAGCAAGGCCTCTGATCAGGAGGTTTTGAGGAGCAAGGAACCACCTCTTAATTGCTGGTGTTCCCAGGTCCACCCTGATCCGGGATGGTAGCACCTGTTAGGGTACCAGCTATGGGCAAATAGTTAACCCTGAAAATGAGGTAAAGATACTATGAAAGTGTAAAAATAGGTTTTAATACCAGAAATACTTTGTAAAAAAAAAAAAAAAAAAATTATTATCAGCAATAAACTTTTGAAAAAAAAAAAAAACTGTTACCAGCAATACATTTTTTGGGGGGGAAAAAAACTATTACCAGCAATACATTTTTTTTTTTGGGGGGACTTTACCAACAATACATTTTTTTTTTTGGGGGGGACTATTACCAGCAATACATATTACCAGGAATTCAAAATTTTGTTGGTATTAAATAACCCATTGAGGTGTTGATATGCCGTAAACCAAACCATCTTGAGGGATAACTTGCCTTGTTCTTGTTTCAGAATGCTCAGATATTACTAATTCTCTTTCCACTGAGTCTGTAATACCCTGCTTAGGAATTGAACACACAATTACTATATTACCAAATTCAGGAACCAATACTTTCATCCCCTAGAATGTTGTCCCATAGACGATTCTAAAATGTGAGACTAGTAGCTGAAGACGTTATTGCAGCATAATGATAATTCCTTTCGTCAAAAATTTAAGAGTGGGGGGGGGAATCTTTTATTTAATTTTGACTGATTATTATTTATGTATTTATTTTTTCCAAAATAGGAATTAAGAAAGAAGCTGCTTCATCTCGAATTGCATCCAATCAAAATAAAAGGATTTCCGCACAATGGCTATGCATTTGTCACATTCAGGTAAAAGCTAATGTTTCAATTTATTTAACCTTTTCCACACTAATTCCTTTCTAACCCTAACCTTTCCTGCAGATGAAATGTTGCAAGTCTCTCACTGCTCAATCACTATTTCCATGGCCTGTGTTCTGATACGCTACATTCTACAACTCACCACCTCTGACCTATGCAACTGGGACTTGTCATGCCATGTACCCAAGGGTGAATCCTTCTTCATTCCCCTTATATTCTTATCTCCTAGGTAAGACGATAAACTACATCTAACAGCAAGGCCTCTGATCAGGAGGTTTTGAGGTGCGTGGAACCACCTTTTAATTGCTGGTGTTTCCCAGGTCCACCCTGTCCCAGGGTGGTAGCACCTGTTAGGGTCCTAACTATGGGCAAATAGTTAACCCCCAAACTGGTTTTAAAACAAAAGTGTAAAAATAGGTTTTATTACCAGCAATGAATTTTGGGAAAAAATATTACCAGCAGCAAAAAATCTTGTCGGCATTAAATAACCCATTGAGGTTGATATGCTGCAAAACAAACAAACCAAACCCTCGTATTCCTATAATAAAAAGTAAGTTCCTGTGGACAGCTTCTTCCCAAGAATTTTTCATCCTGGGTATGTTGATAAACTGCATTCGGCAACATGGCCTCTGATCAGGAGGTTTTGAGGAGCATGAAATTGCCTTTTAATTGCTTTTAACTGAAAACTGACATCCATTAGACTTGGCACATGGAACTAGAACAGTCTACCCCAGTGAGCGAAATAAAGGGTTCAGTTCGACATTCCAACCACCTGAAGAAGGCTGGAGCGTACAATTGTTGAAAAGTTGTAATAAATATGGCAACAAAGATGAGGACATTAGTCCGAATAATGTAAATAGTGTACATAATACCTCATCTCAGAAATATAGACAGATGCCAAAATAGAATTTGTTGGATAATTTAACACTTTGTTGTCCCCTAGCCATGCTCACTGAACCATGACATTCAATTTTTGACAATAAATTTTTATGATCATGTTGAAATATGGATGATTCATCCCAGTGTAAGTAGCATGACTGCTTTTAGCTGTGAAGGTCTGAACTAGTGGAAATAATGAATTTACCTCATCAGAACATTTGCCATGGAAATAGCACTAAATTAGTGTGGCTAGGATGTTTTTCATCATTTTCAGTAATGAAGCTGTTTGTCCAAAAATAAGCATAACATAAATTAATGGTTGGAATGAAACTTCTTGAATATTTCATAAAATGTTTGCTTGGAAAATGAACATCCTAGGGGAATTTTTTGGGGCTCAAGAAAAGTATAATTCTTTTGGTTGCTTTTATTCAAAACTCAAAGGTAATAGATTTATTTTTAATTTAACCTTTTGCATTCTGTAGGTGACTATTTTCACCAAGCAAAATCTTAGTCCTGCCAATGCAAGTTGAATTTGAATTTCTTGGTTGTGTAGTTATATCCTTCTGTGGCGACACCTAAAACAAACTTGACTGAAATTGAGAGCCAGTCTACGGCAATTTCAAATATATAGAACTAATATATAAAACACTATATTTTGTGGTGATTCCATATACAGTAAAGGGGGAAGTAATATTTATAAATGATGCAGAGTGCTAAATGTTAAAGTCTTCATATATAAAAAAAAAAATGTTTGAATGATACTAAATTAATCGGTCACTCCAGATATTAATCTAATTGGAAACCTGTGCTCATTCAACCATTAGCGCTCTATAGGTGACTATTTTCACCAAGCAAAATCTTAGTCCTGCCAATGCAAGTTGAATTTGAATTTCTTGGTTGTGTAGTTATATCCTTCTGTGGCAACACCTAAAACAAACTTTACTGAAATTGAGAGCCAGGCTACTGCAATTACAAATATATAGAACTAAAACACTATATTTTGAAAGGATGTCATATACAGTAGGGGGGGGGGCAATATTTATAAATGATGCAGTGCTACGTGTTAAATAAAAATGCAGTAACCCAGCCGGTTTGTTTTGCATTGTCCTGAAATTTAATTGAAATTGAATTCAAATTTTTATCTTTAATGTCATTCACTTTGGGGAAACCAAAACATTGACTTTCTTCTTTAATTCACTGCTTGCAGTAAATATTTTCAATATTAAAAAGAAATTTATTTTCTCCACCATTTCTGCAGGAACGAAGAAGACCGTGAGTCAGCAATATCCAAACTTCATGGCTTCCAGTGGAAAGGTCATCGTCTGATTGCAAAAGTAGAACATTTTTTTTCTTTCTTTCTTTCTTAAACTAAAGTAAATTTTGAGGTTTTCTTTTGGCTGTGGTTAAGTGGAATTGGCAAAAATGCACAACAAATGACAAAAGCTTCCAATAAAAAATAAGAAAGAAAAAAACAGGGCAAAATAATACAAAGCAAACAGTATACAGCATATGGCGGAAATAACTCCGACATAATGGTAAGACATTAGCTAGATGAAAACACCATTGCCACTGATGTGTTACCATTCTGGGAAGTATATGTGGAAGATATTTCTGCCACACTCTATATACAAGTCAAAACTAGGCAAAGCAACAGTAATAAAATGAAAAGATCACAAAGTAATAACTGGCGTTAACACGCAAAAGGGATACAGTCAAGTGATTATAGTGTTCTGACTTTAAAACAAGAAAGAAAAAAAACATGGCGAATGAGATCGAGAAGTGGTCTATTTTGGTTAAGAAGAAATCCCAGCAAGCATCTGTAGGATTTGTCTATAAATTTTTGGAGGGGACATTGTTAGCAATCATTCCAAATGAATTGGAACTTACAGTTTAGTAATAGTAATATTAATAATACTATATTTACTACTATATAAGATGCATACCTATCTTAGAATGGATAAGCTGATTCTCTGTTCACCACACTGTCTACATGTGATATTGTGTCTGACTTATGTTGTATGAATGACATGCTTGTGCAATTTAATATGCATACACACAATTTGACTGTTTAAAATTAATTTCCTTTTCATTTGAAATGTATTTTATTTCCTTAGTTCATTTTGTATTTATTATCTTTTAGGAAATTATTCAGTGATAAAGAGAAAATTTTTCATACAATTTTCCCTGTTCTTCATTCCATAGCTCGTACGTTATGCCATGTCAGATGCCTTCTAAATAATGGCCTATATTGTTTTGATCACTAGGAAAGACAGAAAAGGCATATCAGAAATGCTGTTTGCTTTCAGAGAGTGAGAGGGTTGACAGAAGAGGTGATAATATTCACCTATGTTTAACGTCTGCATCAGTGAAATGGAAAAACTTGTATCTTTCAAATTTTTTCATTTGTACCTCGTTACTACTTTAGATAATGACCTGCATTCATATTCCTGATTGTTATTTTGCACTATTTTGCTAAAGTTGTTAAGTCCAAATATTTAACAATGCAATAGTGGGGAGGGACTTTCACGGGTATTTAAAGTCTATGACTTTTCAAGGAGCTTATTCAATCATTAACTTAATTAAGATGCATCAGAAAATTCAATTAGCAAAAGTGAAATTTTCATGGGTATTTCTACAATATTTTTAAATCAGTCATTGAATTAAAATATGCTGGATGCACATACATCACGCATTTTGAATGAAATTGAAAAGAACATCTGTGTTGTAAGAACTAATTTTTCTTTTTGTCTGGCAACAACCCCTGAATAACAGGAAATGAGTAAGTAATAGCTGCCCACTTGTATCCGAGTATCACTCCCCCTCTCTAGGCCTATAACCTGGAAAGGAGTATATACCAACCCTTTGGAGTCATTTTTATACTGACTCCTGTATTTAAACTGAATATGTTTTAAAATAAATGTATTTTAAATGGACAAATAAGTGTGTGTGCTAACACCTGTTAGGGTCCCAGCTATGGGCAAATAGTTAACCCCCCAAACTGGGGTCAAAATACTATGAAAGTGTAAAAAATTTTATAGTAAAAATACCAACAATATATTTTCATAGTATTAAAGAAAAAAAATACCAGCAATACATTTTTATAAAAGAAATTACTAATTCTCCCAAGAAAATTAAATTTCAGCATTAAATGACTGATAAGGAGGTAATGTTCCGCTAAACAAATAAAATAAAAATAAATATTTTACAAACTTTTTTACTTCCAACCTCATACTCATTATAATATATTTCTATGCAGAAGAATATAAGTTAACACTTCAAGAATTTTCATTAAAAGAAATGACTTTTTCTATTTATAGAAATCTCGGCCTTCTGCAGACCCACTTGTATTGAAACGGAAGACAGCTCCAGGTAAGACCTCTTTTATTAACTGTTTAAATACTGTCTATATCTCTGAGATGAGGTTGATTACTTGCATTGTTTACATTATTCAGACTGTCATCCTCATTTTCATTGCCATATTCACAATGTTTCTGTCTATATCTCTGAGATGAGGTATCATGATTATTTGCATTATTTACATTATTCGGACTGTTATCCTCATCTTCATTGCCATATTCACAATCATTCAGCCATTGTACGCTCTGGCCTTCTTCAGGTGATTGAAATTTTAAACCGAACCCTTTATTTTGTCCACCGGGGATAGATTGTTCTAGTTCCACGTATCATTCCTCTTCCAGATGTCTCAGTTATTTCCCTTTAACTCGGCTCTCCCAGTTTTGTCTTGAAGGACACATGGCTCAGTGGATAAAGACATTGGTTAGATTCTGTGATTGAGCCCAAAGAGTTGTGAGTTCAATACCAGGTCACAGCAGTGGTGAACCAAAACTTGAAGAGTTAAATTAAAGAGAAATGACTGAGACATCTGAGGGTGGGGAGAAAAGCAATCACTAACTCATTATCTTGGTGACTATATAGATGACACCTTACTAATATATCTGCCCAGTACTAAATTACTAGATCTTGAAAAAGTAAAATAAACAAGATCAAACCTGTAATTGAATTTACATTTGAAAAAAACACATACGATTTTAACTTTTTCTTGAAATTCTGTTAACTCATACTGATACCAGTTGAAAACTAAATGTCTATCATAAGACAACAAACAAAAATGACCTTTTTAAATTTTTACTCACATCCCATGGATGTGTGGGCGGTATAATGGATAGCGTCCTGATTTTGAATTCCAGTCTGCTTCGTTAGATTCACTTACATGCAAATACCCTTAGGGAAAGGTATGAATCTATATCTATCCACCCCCTACTATGGACTAAATAGTGGGACTTGTATCATTGTTATTTTCAAAAAATTGTTAATGCAATATTCAATTGCAAAAAAGAATTGTTACAGTCCAAAATATGCTTCAGCTTCAAATAATCCACAAAGAGTTGATAATCTGTAAAAACAAAAAATAATCATTACTCCTATCACAAGATCAATGTGAATTTTGCCTAATCTTATAGTATTGAGGCGAATGAAGAAAATAGTAACCAGCGAGTAAATTCAAGCTCTCCCAACTGGTATTTCAAACTTGAGTCGTTCCTTCTTGAGTTGTCTCCAAATCACACTAACTGCCCGTTCTTGCCGTCAACCGTGAACGTCTCGAAGAACTCCCCGACTCGGAAAAAAAAAGTAGTTCTTTTTATAATTGTTCATGTACCCATAATCCCTTGCGTCTTCACGTGATCCCATAATTCATTGCGTCCATGTCCCATAATGCATTGCATCGTTATTGCATAAAAATGCGATGCCAGTTCCCCCTCATTCTTTTAAGTTATCTGGCCGAGGATGGATTACGGCAGAGCGGTAAGTGCTTTTTTTTCTCTCCCTCATTTCAACTGCAGTAGCTTTACATGCTAAGCAAATACGGGCTCTTTTTTGGCGGGGACAAGGCAAGTCGCGACCAGTTGTGCTGGTCCCAGGTTCTGTCTCATGTCCGCCACAAGTATTTACATTAGTCGGACTATTGTCCGCATCTATGTTACAACGTTTCGGCCTTCACGTGCCATGTTTGATGGATGTCAGTTATCTCCTGCTAATTTTCCCTCTGAAAGTTCTCCACTGCCTTAACCAAGTATTGAACTCACATTCTTTGGGTCTGTCACTGGATTTATCCACTGTGCCATTGAGGACATCTGGCTATGAACTTCTGGGTATTATAAACCTAATGTTTTCAGCATTCATTTTTTACCAGTGCTCATATTGTAATTTTGCTGTTATCATTTCATGTTTTTACCAGTGCTCATATTGCAATTTTTGCTGTTATCATTGCTTTTCTCTGGCATTCCTTATTACTGGTTTCCCATATTGTATTTATTTCTATGCTTGGTCAGCTCAGGAGATTTTTGTGGCCTAGCATATGTGCTGATTCCTTAAGTTTACAAATTTTCCAATGGTGTTCCCTGTCTATGATTTCAACATGATCCCACAGGGACGGTGATCTCCTTTCTCTCCATGTGTGGTCAGCTACGCCTGATAAAAATATAATATATATATATATATATATATATATATATATATATATATATATATATATATATATAAAGATTAGGAAAAATCCCATGCAACGCACTACTCAGGTTTTAGTACCAGCTCTACAAATTCAGGTTTTCTGAATTGTGTATTGAGCACTTTTTTAAAAAAAAAATATCAAGCATTTGCTTGACTCTAGTCTTACCTATATATATATATATATATATATATATATATATATATAGCTTTGTTTATTTTTGGGTACTAAACACAGCAGATTGAAAGATTTTGAGAGGACTATGACAAAAGGAATTCCGCCTAAAGGCACTATTCAGTGTTGCTTGATTCGCTAAGTACTCTGTGGCTCAGTCAGTCGAGAGCCCGTCAGATCTAACAGTTGTTCCCTCTGGCCAGTAGGGTGCAGGTTTTGAATCCTACTGGAGAGCACATTTTTTTCCTATAAGAGTTCTCAAATATTCAGGCAGGTAGATGAAAATAAATATACTGTTTAATAAATAAATGAAGTGCCTAGTTAATTAAGTATGGGCATCTACTAAAAATAACGTTTAAGGTAATATATATATATATATATATATATGAAGAATACAAGGTTGGTATAGATAAAATTCCAGTAACCAAAAACACTATTTAAAAAAAAAAAAAAAAAATGCTCAATACAAATCAGAGCGAATAATATTTATTTAAAAATTATAATATGTTTGTAGTGAATTTACACACACACACACACACACACACACACACACACACACACACATATATATATATATATATATATATATATATATATATATATATATAATACAGTGTTACATTAGAACATGTACATACCCACTACAAAAGTGTACATCTTTCAACATAAAAAAAATATTTTTGAACTATTCATCAGGTGGGAAATCACGATGCTACCTTAGAACACTGAAATCTTACTCTTCATTCTTTTACATTTGGATATGGAGATTATATATATATATATATATATATATGTGTGTGTGTATGTTTTGAACAATAAAACATTAAAAAAAACAATTTGCAAACACTCTTGGTTGTATATTCATATTTTTTTGTTTTATTATTTCAATTAGGTTCCTTGACTAGTTTCAGCCAGCACGGCCATCTTCAGGAGAAAAAAAAAAATCCCTGCTTGTTAGTAGCAGTGAACTACAGGAGTGATGAACTTCTATCTGTAGTTTTCATTTGTTTTTTATTGTTAATTTTGGCCAGTCTTTGTGTGTGTGTGTATATAATATATACACACATCTAACCATTCTGAGGAGCTGTGAAACAGTCTGTCTGTGGATGAATATATATATATATATATATATATATATATATGTATATATTCATTCATTCATTCATATTCTCATGTGCCTAATATCAAGCAAGGGTTTGTTATATTCAGAGAGGTTCATAATGTACAATAAATAGAACAATGTCTTAATAAAAGGAAACAACAAACTTGAGTTTGGGGAGGTCAGAAAATTTCCCCACTTCCACCATCTGTCGGTGACTTTAAAAGTCATATATGATGCTGAAAAGTCCTTGGCTTTATCAAGCAGTAATTTACCAAACAAGATTATTGATCATTTGGTCAGATTTTGGGAAGTGTGTTGGGCCGAGAACTTTTCAGCAACCCTTTTTATGTGTTTTTTTATGTTTGTTTGAAAAGCATCCTTCCATTTAGTATTAATGATATTCCCTTTTTCTCCTTTTTAGATTCAGATCAGAATGCAAAAAAACAGAAACTTAATGATGAAGCAAATGACTTAAATGAAAATCTGACTCCAGATGAAAGGTATTTGACAATTACTTCTTCAGAACTAATGTGGCTCTTGATCTATAGGGTTGTCGTGCCTGCATTTAGAAATATTTAGTAGCTGCAGGCTTCATGCAGTTTCCCTGTTAAATAAATAAATCAGGTATGTAAAACCAGCCAGTTTCTGACTTCATCGTTGACCTTTCTGATATCAGCAGTTCTCAACTAGGTATACATGCAGATGACACACCTATTTACACCTATTGTAGCAGCAAGTCCAACAGATCCAATAAAGTGGAGCTGGCAACTGCTCTTGAAAAGGACATCCAATCTTTGGTTAACTGGGGCAAGAAATGGCTTGTAAATTTTAATGCCTTCAAAACAAAACTGTTTTCATTTATCAGCACAGAAGACCTTTTCTGCCTACCATCAGCATGGCTGATGCTAACCTTCAGGGGAGCAACTCTTTGTGCCTTCTCAGGCTAATGTTTTCCACTGACATAAAGTGGAAAGTTTATATTGAATCCATTGCTAGGTCTACTGCTAGGAAAGTTGGTTCACTGTACTGTGCCAGACAATTTCTCTCTTCAGAATCCATTTTCACATTTGTGTGCATTGAATATTGCTGCCATATTAAGTCTTATTCTTCTACTCTATATCTTGAGATTATTGACAAAATCCAAAGAAGGATCTGTGATGTAATTGATCATGATCAGGCATCTCAACTTTAGTCACTTGGTGTGGCTTCCCTCTGTCTGTTATACAAATATTTTCATGGCAACTGTTCTAATAAACTTTTTTTCCTTTGTGCCTCCACTGCATGAATTTAAGCATGTTACTAGATTGGCAATTAGGTCTTGCCATTTTAGTGTTGAATTAGCATATGATTGATGAGAGAATAGAGAAGGGAGAAAAAAAAAGGCTGGGATGGAGTACTAAAGACTAAAGATAGCAAGCCCCAGCAAACAATCACACTGTTTACAGAGACAGTTTGTGAGACTTGATATACAGTGACTCAAGTACTTTTAGATGAAATAAAGAGTGGAGCTGGGATAAAACAGTAAACCAGCCAACACTGAATTCAGCCGCTGTGTATCAAGTCTCGCAAACCATCTCTCTATAAACAGCATGATCGCTTGCTGGGGGTTACTATCATTACTCTATACCCCCCCTTTTTTCTCTCTCTCTACCTTCTCTATTCCCTCATCAATCATTCACAAATTTAGATTTATTTTATTTTTTACTCTTTTATTCCCAATTAAAAACTCTGGAGAACAGGAGTGTAATGGGTTGTTTTTTTTTTATCATCAGCTTTTTAATTATACCAAGTAATATTCAGCTTAATGTTTTTACAGCAATATTAAGGCTCTGTACCACTAAGTGTTTATATATATATATATATATATATATATATACACATACACACACACACACACACAACTTTTACTTAACTTTTCTTGTTTGCATACAAGATATCATGGGGTTAGGTGTGAAAAATTTCAATATTGTCCAAATGTTTGTGATCAAGGTGCTTTCACCATACTTCAGAGCATCACCAGGATTCAGATGTTTTGTCAATCTGTCCGGTATTTTTTTTACATTCAAATACTGTATATTGCCGCGTATAAGGTGACTTTCATGTCTTGAAAATTATCCCTCAAAATAAAGGGTTATCTCATACAACAGTTACAAAAAGCTAACTGAGGTGTATCAGCACTAGTAAGTAGGCTAGTACAATTGCACAGTGTTTCACAGTAGGCTAACAACTGCCTCGGTATGGTATCTACTAATGTAAATATTTAGTTGAAAAAATTTGCATTAAAAAAGTTGAATTACAGTTATAATTGTAATAAAACTACTTTTTCTTCTTGATTTCACATTAAAATGCAATATTTGAGAGATGATTACACAACAATTTGCAAAAGTTCTGCTGAGCAACACACACACGTAACAGAGACAAATCTTTCGTTCTTTACACTATTTACATTATTCGTTCTATTGTCCTCATCTTTGTCGCATTGTTTATCACAACATTTCGGCTGTTGTGCACTCAGGCCTTCTTCAAGTGGTTGGAATGTAGAACTGAACCCTTTATTTTACTAACTTGGGTAAACTGTTCTAGTTTCACATGCCATGTCTAATGGATGTCAGTTATCTCCTGTTAATTCCCCTCTGAAAGTTCTCCACTGCCTTAACCAGGTATTGAACTCACACTCTTTGGGTCCTGTCACTGGATCTAACACCTTTATCCAGTGTGCCATGGCACGTGGAAGTAGAACAGTCTACCCCAGTGAGCGAAATAAAGGGTTCAGTTTGACATTCCAACCACCTGAAGAAGGACGGAGCATACAACAGCTGAAACGTTGTGATAAACATGGCGACAAAGATGAGAACAATAGTTCCGAATAATGTAAATAGTGTACATAATACCTCATCTCAGAAATAATAGACAGATATCTTTCGTTCTTGATTTGTAGAGCTATGGGTGTGTTCACATGAATCATTATCTCTTATGTCATCTTATACTATGGATGTCAGATAAAATCATGAAAATTTACCTAGATTTTGTGTCTTGTCTTATCTATAGGTGCACCTTATACATGGAAATATACAGTAATTTAAAACTTGGTATTGATTGTTATATACATTAGGATAAAAATCAGTTTTCAATTTTTTATGATGTTAAACAGTGTATCATATTATTGTTTGTATTTAAATATCAATGTTGAACGATGACATAGAATTTTTTTTTTTTTAAATATTAAAATGTAGAAAATAAAAAATAATTTCTTTTCAGATTAAAAAATGCTGTCATGCCTCTCCACAACTTCCCATATAGTGAACAATTAAATGTAAGTAATTGAAAGATATTGGACATAAATCACATTGCAATTTATATTTTTAACCAAAACTTGAGGATTTATAACTTCTTGGAAGACGCACTGTCACTTACAAGTTTTTAAATTTTTATAACATTTGACAAATTCTTTGGTTATTATGTTATTATTTATAGTTTTGACAGACTGAACACAAAATTATTTACTAAAGCATTTCAGTGACATTTAGATGCCAGATATGAGTTTCTGTTTCACCCTCAATGAGGCTGCATGCTTTGAGCATCGATTGGGTTTCAAATTATCTCCAGGCCTCAAGTGAAACAAACACACACATATAATTTATTTCAGCAGCAAGAATTTGGTTAAATAATATTAAGTTCTATCAAATATTTTATTAAATTTTTCAAATTTCTGTATTAATGGCTTCATGTTGTCAGTAAATTTGCCAAAGTTCATATTTAGTTTTATATTATTCCCTAAGCCAACCTGAGTACTTTCAAATGTTGCTACATCCATTTTTAAGGATTGTTCCATGCATATTTATGCAGCTGTTTTTGTTTAGTTCCAGCTTTCTCATGTTTGATGGAACCAATTTCTACTCAAGGGACGTGATTTAAATGGTCACACTCGAATTTTTATGAGTATTTTTTAACACGTCTCTCTTTTATTGCAATAGCCTCTAGAATTTGGAGTCTTTCTTTGCAGAAAAATTATAATTCATCAGTATATAGATCCTAAGGTATTTGTTAGGATCTATAACTGTTATATACTGATGAATTATAATTTTAATAGCCTTTTCATCTTGTTCAGAATTAGGATAGAATAAAACGATTTATTTCCTCTTTATTTTTGTTTATATCAAGTTGGTTGCTAATATTTTTTTTTCTTAATCTCTTTAAAGCTAATTTTATTTTTTTTGTTAACATGGTCCGAGAAATTATTTATTTTTTGTTGTTTAATTCTCTATAAAACAATGAAGAGGAAATCATTTTAGCACGATAAATCATGTTCTTTATAACACTTATATTTACATTATTTGGACTGTTATCCTCATCTTCATTACCATATTTTCACAACATTTTGGCCATTGTATGCTCCGGCATTCTTCAGGTGATATATACCAGTGAATTATAAATTTAATAATCTTTTTGTCTTGTTTAGAATTAGGATGAATCTACTTAGAATAAAACGATTTAATGGAGTCTTTATTTTTGTTTATATCAAGTTGGTTGCTAATATTTTTTTTTTCTAAATTTCTTTAAAGCTAATCTTATTTTTTCATCTATTTTTCAAGTCTTTTGGTTCATTACTGCTGTAGCCTGGTATTGAACTTGCAACTCTTTGGGTCTAGTCACTGGATCTAACCAATTTCTTTATCCACTGGGCCATGTCTTTGAGGACATCTGTGTATCAATTTTTGGGACTTATAAACCAGTTGTTTCAGCAACTATTTTTTTTATGAGTGCTCATATTGCAATTTTTCATTATTATTACATATTTTTTTACCAGGGCTTATATTGCAATTTTTGTGCTGTTATTCACTGTTTTTTCTCTAGCATTCCTTATTACTGGTTTCCATAAGATAAGACTGCAAGAACATTGAAAAACGGTAACGCAAGGGAAAATAGAAAAATCAGGCATAGCTGACCACATATGGAGGACAAAATAAAGTGTTCGGTTCAAAATTCAATCACCTGAAGTAGGCCGGAGTATACAATGGCCAAAAAGTTGTGAATATATGGCAAAGAAGATTAGGATAACAGTCCAAATAATGTAAATAATAATACCTCATCTCAGAGATATAGACAGACCCATTTTATATCTGTATAGACATTCAATTTTATAATTAAAGAGAGATGAATTTTTACTGGTGGGTTTTATATATATTCAAGTCATAAAATCATTATTAGCCTATAACACCCAAGAAGGATAAGCTATTTTTAATGTTGAATTCATAAATGAATTTTAGAACTTTCAAATGTTTCTTTAAGTGTTTTTAATTAATCTTTTTCTGTTAATGTGAAAATGTCATCAATATATCTGGTATATATTGATGTTTTGTTGATGCAGACAAAGGAATTTTAACTACCACACAGGCACTATATTGCTTTTTGAAAATATCTATGATAGTGGGAAAGTACTTAAACAGTAACAAAATAGGAACTTCAGTTTATCCCCAACCTTGAACACAAATCCCAATACCCTATTCGAAAACTGGAAAAATTAAACAAAAAAATGAAATAGACCTTGTTGGTTCTTTTTCATCAAACTTGTTTGGATAAATACTTGCTGAATAAATATACCTTGCCTGAATTTTTACTATGTGATGGGCTGATTGTTCCAAGAAGAGGGTTTAAAATTTTTGTTATGGTTTTTTGCCAGTTTGTGGGGAGAGCTACCAAAACTTTATATAATAGGGTGCATTGGTAGCGCTGCCCACAAACTGCCAAAATCCATCATGAATATATATATATATATATATAACTGGCCACTACCACCTGAAGAAACTTCAATGGTTGAAACCATTGTAATGTTAAGTGGTTGATCTTCCTATTTTTTAATAATTAAAAGCTCTGCACATTTTTTGAATTGTCTATTGAGCACTTTTTAATGCAACCATTTACTGGTATAATTTAACTTTGACCAACAGTGGTTTAACCAGTGTGTGTAGTAATAATAATAATAATATCAAAGAAAACCATAAATATTCATTTTGGTTATAATTTATTTCATGAATACTGAAATATTCATCTCTTCAGACAGAAATCTCTTAGTAAATGAAGACTATACACTGGACGGATATATTAGATCGATAGGGGGGATGGAGAAGATATGAGAGAAGGAGGGGAAGGAGAGAAGTGATGGATGGACAGGCTTTATTAAACAGATGAGATAGAGGGGGGGTATGAAAGAGAAAGGGAAGAAGGAAAGGATGGATGGGTAGTAGTAAACCTAAACAGACTGACCCAGCCAAGAATTTTTCCCTTAAAGTTTAGAACTCTGTACATTGGGTTATACAGTAAATTAACCAATATAGCCTGTTGTTTTAGACAGGACAACCCAACCCCATTCCAAATTAGTTAGTCTAATAAAAGAGTCCTTAATACAAATAATAAGTAGAAATTATAATAATGTCAAAACTAAATGAAGGGATTTTAAATACAGATAAATAAAACAAATATAAATTTAGAAAAATAAAAATAAAAAAAAACTGTAAGTTGATGTATAGATAATGCTACAGAAGATGTTAATTTAAAAATATAGGTGCGGTATACATTGGCAAGACAGTCATAGATCCAACTACATCTGAAGAAACAAACAAAAAATACGGTCATTTAAAGAAATAAAGAAATATTAAAAGATAGTGGTTTCACTCCACTAATCAAATGGGAAATCATCTATTGGTCTCAAACCCCTAACTTCTGGGACATATGCAATGTGTGTATACAAGAAAAAAATGCAATAATTAAATACACAAATGCTAACCAATTGTCAAATCAATGAAACAAACTGATCTTCAGATGTGAACATAACAGGTTTAAAATCCCCTAAAAAGATTTATTTTGTGGGGAGGGATGCACACTTGAAGTGTTGGTTCATTTATATGGGTAATAGCACATATGGGTGTACATTCATGTATATGTATAGGTGCAGATGTGTGTTGATATTGCATATCACACCAATTTGCGTTTTTTGCGTGTTTCTTCATATGCAGTTGGATGTATGACTGCCCTGCTAATGTATACAACATTTATAATTCTATATAAACATCTTTTGTTTCATTATCCATACATCATCTTGCCCATTTTTTTTAATTTTTATTTTTACTTTTCATTTTCTAAATTTATTTGTTTTATTTACCTGTATTTAAAATCCTTTCATTTAGTTTTGATATTATTATCATTATTGTAATTTCTACTCCTTATTTGTATTAAGGACCCTTTTATTAGACTAACTGGTTTGGAATGGGGTTGGGTTGTCCTGACTAAAACAATGGGCTATATCAGTCAATCTGCTGTATAAAGTTCCAAACTTTAAGGGAAAAATTGTTGGCAAGGTCAGTGTGTTTAGGCTTACTACTATCCATCTATCCTTTCCTTTATCTCCTCTGTTTAAAAGAGCCTGTCCATCTATCACTTTTCTCCTTACTCTCCTTCTATCATATCTTCTCTCTTGCTTTCCCTTCCCCCTGACAAACTAATATATCTGTCCGGTGTATTGTCCACATTTACTAAGACATTTTGGTCTGGAAAGATGAATATTTTGGTATTCACAAAATAAATTATAATCAAAATGAATATTTAAGGTTTTCTTTGTTATTATTATAATGCTTTAATATAAGAAAGGTGTGCTATATTTATGGGATAAAGTACTCGGTATCAGAGATAGTGTGTGTAAATATATAAGTGAACATTGAAGTCAACACTTAGAGGCGACAGTCTGTTTCATACTAGGCATAATCGTCGGGCCCCAACGATTGTATCTAGCATGAAACAGCCTGTCACCTCCATGTGTTGACTTCAATGTTCACTTATATATACACATACACACAGTGTGTATTTCCACATATAAGACAACCTTTAAATCCTCAAAATCATCCTTAAAAATTGGGGGTCATTTTATAGTACAATTCTTACAAAAGAAACCTTAAATTCTGAGTGATGTTTGTCGGTAGGCGAATCTCAGCCTTGGCACAATAATCAATAATGAACATGAAAAGATTCACATTACCAAATAACCTGCTAATAAAACCATTTCTACCTTATATATTATTGGCATAAATTCATAATAAATTGCCTATTTGAAGAATAATTCCATATCAATGAAATCAACTTGCATCCATGCAAGCTCAGCTGGGAAAATGTAAACATCGAGTTCTGATTGCCTTCACAGCAGCTTTTATCTTTCGCTAAACTTTGAATAATCATCATGGTAGTGTTAATTACGGCAGTAATAGCATTTAGGATAACCTAATATTCATTTCTAATTAAAAATTCATTATAATTTTAGTGGTAAACATAATTTAGGATTACATACAACCTTTTATTTTTCAAATAAAAATCCTTTTATGGTAGTTGCATTAGTACACCAGGATGTTTGTAACTCTGTTTGGAAATATAGGAAAAGAAGAGGAAGAAGAATCGGTATTTGCAAGAGATCTCGTGATGAAACAATGGTTTCCCTTTTTGGGTGGGTAAGAAAAACATGATATAGAATCGGGTTTGTTATTTTGTTTATTTTGAATTTCTAAGTTACAGTAACAACATTTCTAATAACATCATCTTTATATAATCAATAAGCAGTCGTCTTATATACTACAGGCATAGGATAAATTCATGAAAATTTTCTTTATTTTCTTTTTACCTTGTCTTATCTAAAAGGTCATCTTATATACAGAAATATACAGTGTGTGTGTGTGTGTGTGTGTGTATATATATATATATATATATATATATATATATATATATATATATATATATATAATCATTAATGCATATTTCATTAAATAATATAGACAAGTTTTGTCTATTTATTTTAAGTAAATTCCTTTCATATTTTCTGATAAGCTTAATCACATTATCGTTGAAAGACAAAAGGAAAATACCAAAATCAATTCATTTTAAGCACTCCAGAAATTAGATTACTCCTGCCATGCCTTTCAGATCAGACCAATAATGGAATATTATTGCCATATCTGTGCTGGAGCTGCACAATCCTCATTTTCCAACCTTGGGAAAATGGTTCGCTCGTTCTTCCACTCCAAAAAATACCTAATTCCTTCTGTCATGTTTGAGCTTTACAAGAGTCAGATTAGACCCCAAAATGGAATATTATTTACTAATATTCAGATGAACATTCCATTGTTTAATTCTGCCAGTTCAAACCTTTACAACTAGAACATGCAATGCTACTTTTATGGAGTTGAATCAGCCTCATTTCCTCTCTATTCCAACTGTAAGCAGTAAATTCCACTCAAACATCTTTTTCTCCAAGAACTGCCATTTTGTGGAATTGACACTGAACTCTTCACATCAAAGGTCAATTATTGCCTTTCCTACTTAATCTTTACTGCCACTTTTATTCATCTCTGTCATAATAAACATAACAATAACCCTCTCTACCCGAGTGGCTCTCAAGCCTTGTAGTGGGTGAACTTGAATATAAAAAAAATTCTTTGAAAACAAAGATGATATTAGTCAAAATAATCATACATGTGATAGAATTTTAAACAAGATTTGCTTTTTGGTGTCGGTTATACTCGGTTTACTTCATTACTGAAGCACTCAGTGAGGGTCAAAGTTATTACGCAAACTAATGATCTTCAAATTTGTTAACCATCACCAGGAACTCTAGATATTTACTTAGTCTGGCATAAGGCAACATTAATTAAGGATCCATTGAGGATTGAAGTTACTAACAATGGATTTGACAGATCAGCATGTTCATTATTACTCTTGAAAACTTCTAGTGACTCAAACACTTGTTTTGCATTTCTGGTCACCATTGTAGACACTATTTAAAATGGTGTTTGCCTGTGAAAATATTTGATTGTTTTTGGGGTTTTTTTTTTTTTTTTTTAAATATTGAAAAAATTGCTTGAGTGCTTTAGAAATGAGAGAATTTACTAAAATGAAGAAAAGAGACAAGTGACCATTATATAGGAGTCAATGTGCCATAAAGGTACATTCAGAATCAGAACCATGGAGATGGGATTAAAGACTATGAGAATCTACTTGAAAATCCTTGTTTGGCAATATATGACCATTATATAGGAGTCAGTGTGCCATAAAGGTACATTCAGAATCAGAACCATGGAGATGGGATTAAAGACTATGAGAATCTACTTGAAAATCCTTGTTTGGCAATATATGACCATTATAGTCAATATGCCATAAAAGGTACATTCAGAATCAGAAAGATGGGATTAAAGATTTGAGAAATGAAAATCCTTGTTTTTATATGACCATTATATAGGAGTGCCATAAATACATTAGAATGAGAATTTTTTTTTGGCAAATATTTGTTTTTTGATTTGTTTCTGTTTTCTTTGTGTTTTTTTTTTTTTTTTCCTGCTCAAAATGTTTTTGTTTCTCATATGTTTTAGACGAAATCTTCTAATATGAAATCAGTTTTGACAAAGCTAACCTGGGAAGTGCATAATAACTGCTATGAGCTGAGAGACTGGTTGAAAGAATGCAAGTAAGTGCGATCTTGAATGTGTTTGGATTTGTTGTTAAGATTCCCTTTGCTTTATTTCTAATAACAAGTTCACCTAATAAATTTTGAATGCTAAGATTTGATTTCAATCTCTTCAGGTTCATGACATGTTTGAATAGGTGTAGAAAAATTGGCCAAAATGACCAACAATAAGAATTGACAAATTTCCCCATAAATTATAACAAAAAGAAAGAAAAAGTAAAGAGGCCATTGTCCTGGGACAGTGATCTAGTGGTTTAAAGCATTAGTTTATAAATTTGGTGACCTAGTAATTGTGAGTTCAATCCCCAGGTCAGGTAGTATTGTATATGTGGACTTAGTGGAAAGGGACAAGCAATAACTGATCAGTACTAAGAATAAGAACTAGAATGATATCCATAGACATGAGCAGTGGGATGAGAACAGTCTACCACTGTAGATTAAATAAAGGGTTGAGTTCAGATCAATATGCACCTGATGAAGGCTGGAGGGCACAACAGCCGAAATGTTGAGAACAACAAAAATGAAGACAATGGTCCAAATATGAAGAGCATGAATAATAGTAAATACTTATCTCTGAAATTGAGACAGAAATCAAGCCCGGTATTTTTCATTGTCATTTTTATTAGTTCTAATAGAGTGGACCTAATGTGAGTTTTACTGGTCAGGAATGTAGTTAATTTAAATATATCATTCATTTTTAGAGTATTTATTTCATTTTCCATGGCCTCGTGCCATTTTCTAGAGTTATTTGAAGTGATACCTTCAATATAAGTATTGGGTATGTATCTTACAGTAAGTATTTTTGTGTGTGTGTATATATATATATCAATACTTATTGTAAGATATATATATATATATATATATATATATATATATATATATATATAGTCAGATGTGGGTAAGTCACACTGATATATATATATATATATATATATATATATATATATATATATATATATATATACAGTGTGACTTACCACATCATCTGAATTTTTAACAACGTAATCTTTTAAGATCTTTCTTCAGTGCCATTTTGGTGTAAAAAATGTGGGGCCGATTTTTCGTGTTTAATAGGATTATTGAAGCATTGCAAAAGTTTCAGAAGTAAATTATGTGCCATTATTGCTGCTTAGGTGTTTTACAGAGCAGTACAGATCTATGTCTGCCAAATATTTCTTTGTAGCAAGAAATGTATTACCTTTTTGGTTAAGAAAACAAACAATGATTAGACCTGAATAGTCATCGACAAAACAAAGAATATATTTGAAACCATTCAAATAATCTGCTCACTCTGGCAAGCTAGATCACAATGAACAATGTGCAATATTTTATTTGCCCATTAGCAGTGCTAGATTTACATATGGGTTGTGCAGCCTAGTGGCCCTAAGACTAGAACCCCCACTCCCATCTCACACCCTCTAGTCTTGGGGCTCTGATAAAACTAAAAAATTATGAAAATCATAAGAACAGAGGATATTTTTTTATTTTCAGATTTAATGGGATTCCTTAGAGAAAATTTGAAACTATTTAGACTATTTGGACCCCTCTAGTTGGAGTGGATCTTTTTAAATAGAAGGGGGCCCCCATATACAGGGTGCTATGGTTAAATTGTCATCTAAATTATGCAAAAATGAAAATAGCAATGACATCCCATTTTAACAGATTTATTTACCAAAATTACACATATCTTGATATACTAAACCACAGCCTCCAGATGACTTCAGAATCTCCTGCATCTCTTCTGGATGGTCTCCTTGTTTAAGTTGCTGAATGCTGCCATAACCCTTGCCTTCAGTTCATTTTTAGTGTTACAAAGAGTTTTGTTGGTCTCTCACTTAGCTGCACCCCACACATAATAATGAAGGAGGTTGCAGTCTGGGGAGTTGGGTTGCCAGATGTAAGTGGTGACGTGATTGCAGAAATTGTCTAACAGCCATGACTGTGTTCTCCTGCTTGTGTGGCATGGTGCAGAGTCCTCTTGTCAGACATCAGGTCTTCCAGCAGCCAATCTCTTGACCTAGGGCAGCACTATCACCTCAGGGTATTTGATGTAGGCCTCTATGTTGAGTCTGAGAACAGAATTGACTTTTATTATTGCAATAAAAGAAAAAAAGCTAACAGGGCAAATAATATGTAGATTTTCCACAGTGACATAATCTTAAACAGAATCTTTTAATGCAATTTCCAATAATAAAAAACAAATTAATTATTTGATTATTTTTTTTTAATTCTTTCAAAATTTAATAACTGTCTCTTCAATTTTGTTAAACATTTTAATATAACAATAACGTAACATAGTTATTTCCTTAAGATTTGTTTTTACAAATCTTTGTAGGTATTTTCCTTATAAAACCCCAAAAATAATTAAAAACAAAACTTTTTACATAAAAAAAGAAAAGTGGGTTGTCGATATTCTGAGAATATGTTGGATAATCTATTTTAAAATATTTTATAACTTTGCTAAGAAACAAATGAGATGAAAGTCACAGCTCAGTTGTGGCCACTGAAATCCATTGTTAAAGTGAAAATGGAAGATAGACATTAGTTGATGTCAAAATTGGAGGGGAGAGAGAGAGAAAGACAACAAATCAATGAATTTAACAAATTCATTTCCTTTAAGGCCTCACACAATTTACAAGTAAAAGATTCTAAACAACTTGTTTTATGAATATGAAAGAAAAGTAAATGCTATCACATGCCTACCATACAATTTAGAAATAAAGAAAAACAATTCTCCAAAAACACCATTCTATGAAATGACTGGCTTATCTAAGCTTACTGTCTCACGGCGATTCTCCCGGATTAATAATTGCATCATCTTCAGTGCTTCACTATTGTAAACAAATTTAAATTGAACAAAAAAAAATCCTTTAATAACATTAACTATCAATGATTATTTTTTTTCATATTTTATTTATATTTTGTAATCTAAACCAGTTGTATGAATAAACCACAAGTTGCCAAGATGACTGAATCAAGTTAATATAGTGAATCAATCTCAAAAGTTGAGCCTGCTCCTCTAAAAAAAAAAAAGAAAATGGCCCCAGTATCTAAAATTTCTGCTAAAGCCAGAGTAGAGCAATTTCCTGATGACTTTTATGCTGAAGAAAATGTTATTTTGCAAATTCTATCACCATAGTGATGACACAATCAAAGATCACATTTAAATCAAAAACTCATTTGACAAAAAAGTCTTCAAAAAAAGTTGGCTCAACTGAAACGGAAGACAATCACAACTTTGTTGAAGAGTAAAGAGGTATAAGATGATTTTGTCCTTGAATTTTTTTTTTTTTTTTTTTTTTTTGAAATTGTCAATTTTGTCTGACATTTCCTAACACAAAATTGACAAAATGAGGCCATTCCTATTAAAACATTGTATGAGGCCATTCCTATTAAAACATTGTAAAGATGGTGGTGCTATTCCCAGTGTCAATTGTGTTAGGCAACTTCATCTACCAAAATTGTTTGCTTGTCACTTTGCTGCCCTGAAAGCCAAGTTTGCTAATCAATCAGTCAGCATCATAACAGATAAAACAACTGTCGTAACCACAGCATTTTGAATGTAATTACAAGCATTCATGGGGAGTCATTTCTCATTGATGTTGTAACCTTTCAGGAATGCAATCATCAAACTGTAAGTCAGATATGCATCCAAATTGTCACATGTGGATATTGCATTTGAAGATATTATTGCCTTTGTAACAGATTCTGCAGCCTATTACAAAAAAGCTTATAAGGAAGTGTTGTCAAATGTCTTTGTTAACAGTTGCCATGTGTTGTGCTAAGCACATATTTTAAATCTTGTTGGTGAAGTATTTCTACATTGGTCAGCATTTAATAGTATTACCCAGCTCACTACTTTCATGAAGTCAGCCTTTTTTAAAAAGCCTAATTGGAAAAAGCGATACTTAAAATGGTTTGAAGGTTCCTTGCCTCAGGAACAAGTGAAACTACTCCCCCTGTACCAGTGGTAACCAGATGGAATTCCTGGTTTAATGCAGTCAAATATCACTCATCTGTAGTTTTATGAAGGATTCTTTAAGCAAGAAAAGAGCCATGGCCTTATAGTAGATAGGATTCTAGAATTAGTAGATGGTGGTCGACTATATCATGCCTCTTACCATAATTTGAGCCTAAATCAACATTTTATGAATGAGAACTTCACTCATTTAATTACAGCTTTGACAAACTTAGAAGAAACTCAGTCTCTGCTTGCATGTCTTGTATATAACACAAAGGATGTAAAACAGTCTTTGCATACTGGTACATCAAAATCAACAGTTGGTCTAGAAACTGATCATCTTCTGTCTGAACTAGATAACACAGAGAGGGAGAGTGTTATCTCAAATTTCCAAGATTTTTTAAAAACTGAATAAATACCTGGATACCCACCCTGTGTATAGCTTACAAGGAAGCTTAGATCCTAGACAGCTACCCTGTATGGGCCATGATTTAGACAGTTTTGCAGCCATCAAGGACTTGCAATGTCTTTCTATTGATTTTCTTGAAGAATTCCAAATGTATGTGAATTACCAAGATGATTTACCAAATCCTTTTAATATCCCATCATTTTGGGATGCAAATAAGAGCAGATTTCCTCTTCTGGAACAGATTGCTAAAAAGGTCATATGGATGCCTGTTACCAGCATAGATGCTGAACATTCACTTTCTCAATAAAAATTTACTCAATAAACAATGTGAAAGTCTTCACCCCTGAGAACACTAAGCAACTCTGAGTGTATTAAAATGGAGATTTAGAAAAGATATTTGAAGATTAAATATTTCCCAAATTAAGAAATTAGCAATTTTAAATTCAAGCAGTATTTCAACTTGGGATAAGTTGTTTTATTTAAATTTTGAATTAATATGTCTAATTTGTTTTTTGATATTTTGTTACATTCAGTTATTATGGTTTAATTACTGTTTTGTAAAATTTTAGTCAAAATGTTTGATTTTATTCAGATATTTATTATTGAGATTCAAGTTATTTGTGTTTGATAGTTTAAATGTGATTTTTATATTATGAATCAATAATTATAAATCAATCTAAATACTTTTACTTAAAAAAACAAAGACAATTTGAATGTGTTTTGAATGTGTTCTTAAGGAAAGAATCTCTGATTAAAAGTTCTAACCTCAAAGATAATTATGCACTGTAACATTCTGTTGTTTTATACTGTCTAGTCATGTTACATTTTTCATTTTTTACATATCATTTATTTTTGGACTTGGATTTTAACATTTAAAAAAAAAGATTTGTATATATTTGCTATTTCTTTATATGCAATAAAACTTTGAACTATGTTTTTGTTTTCAGTTTTAATAATAATTATAGCATCATGTATTGCAATTTTATAATAATTATAGCATAATGTATTGCAATTTTCTCATAAAATATTATGAAAAGGGGAGGGATGAAATTTATAAAAGGGAAAATAAACGGAATTTACCAAAAATGGAAACAGAATCAAGGAAAATTTGAAATGGAAAATCAGGGACCCTATATATGCAAGACAAAAGTGGGCAAAGCAATAGTAATAAGGAAAAACTTTCATAAAGTAAGAATGGCATTAACGTGCCAAAGGGTGAGTGTGACAAGAAAGAACAATAATATGGTGGATAAAACCAAGAAGTGGCCAATCTTATTGGCTAGGAAGAAATCCCAGCATGCATCTGTACAATCTGTCTATAAATTTAAGGAGGGGGTCATTTTTGCAGTTATTCCTTTTAGGATTTAAACCAACAATAGACCAATCATATGGTGGATTTAACCTTAATTCGAATGCAGTTGGTCTCTAACCATCAAAAGTGCTTGAGGGAATGGCTGTGTGTGTATTTGGCATAATCCAGATAATCACTAGATGAAGAAGGATGTTTTTTATGATGCTACTCAATTGTATGAATCCCAATGAACTAATAAAAGTCCATCTAAACACAAATTTGAACTATGGCCAATGGGCATTTCTTTCTCATTAATTGGTGGGTTGATAACTGTATTGCATCAATGTGGAGATAAATTGGTTTATAGTAATGATAACGTTAGCTATTTCCTTATAAGGAAACATTTGGCATTCATTGACTGAGCAACTAGTGCTACTCGAGTTTAACTTTTTTTTTTTTTTTCAATCTAGTCAATGGGCTGGGACCGAAATGTTGTATCTGTTCTCCTCATCTCAAATGATAACATTAACCATTTCCTTATAAGGAAACATTCGGCATTCATTGACCAAACAGCCGTTGCTAGTCAGTTGAAATTTATAAAAATCTTTCTATTTAAACAATTTATCCGAACAAATAGGTTTGTCAAGTCCAGTAAGTGTTTCCAGTATTGATGGGTACCTTCCTAAGCTTTGGATTAAACTAGTGTGATAAGTTAATATCTTGATTGTCATTATTTTCTCTTTGAATTGCATGTGCTATCCATTTTAGTTGTTGCTGCTGCTGTTGGTAGTCTTCAAGTGATGTGGTTTCTGTTATTTAGCACAGTTCTTTGTGATTCTGTAGCACCACTTCAAAGAAGGATGGTCCTCACTAACACCTACAGGCTTCATTCGCTTGAAAGCATTTTTAATCAATGATCTTAAAAAAAAAAAACGGTTTCATTCAGTTGAACGTTCAAACATTTCTGAACAAGTTGGGCTCTATGTGTCACCTCCATATTAAAGTCGCAATCTGATGAGGCTGTTTAAGAACAGGATTCTAGTTCTCGGGTTAATGTTTTGGTTTTGTAGCATCTGGCAGTATTGTGTGAAACTATCCCTAGTACAACCTATTTTATTTCCTTATAGTAAATTTGTTATAACTAATGCATAATACGTAGATATTTGAAGTGATTAGTATACATAAATGATTAGTATTTACTAGTTACAGATCTTGAATTTTTATGACCGATTCAGGATATGTGCTATTGCTGCTTTCATTCCATATCATTGTTTCTATTTACAGAAGGTTTGAGTCCTACTTCTTGAAACACTTGAGAAAGAATGTTGATTTTTTTTTTTTTTTGTTTTGTTTTTTTTTCTTTTCTTTTTGGCAATATCATTCTTAACTCATGAATACCCGTGTCATCAGCATATGCCATGTCGTCATCTGTACACTGGTTTTGTAGGGGAAACATGAACATTGTTTTCTATTAGTAGTTTGGTCTTGAATGTTATACCTGCTCACAAATAGTCATCAAAAGTTTGCCATTTTCTTATTGAGGGCAAACTTGCAGTCAAAAATGAAAAATTATACATTGTCTATAAAAATTTAAAAAATCATATAACCAACATAATTTCTGATTAATAAGTTGTTTCTGCTTCATACAAACACTAGCTGGAATAGCTGTCTTTTCCCCCAGGTGTATGAGTACCTAAAATAAATACAATCACATGTCTTCACTATATTTTGCAGTAAATCCTTTTTCAAAAGATGCTGATACTTTTTTCTTGCTCCAGGAATGTTGATACAATTAAATTTGTTGCATCCAAGAAATTTAGTAAAAATTATTCAATTTTTACTTTTATGATATTTCACAAAAAAATAAAATATAAATTTTAAAGATAAAAAAAATGTTGGAAATTTTTCCAAACATTTCCATGGGTATTATATACCATCAAATAAAGTAGATTTCAGTACGATAGGAACGTCTCAGTCTATTATTTTTATTTTGTTTTGTATGGTTTCCGTCTTTTATTTGAATTTTTTTTTTTTTTTTTTTTTTTTTTAACAGATCAAAAAATTCAGGATGTATCTGTGAAATTTTACCCATAATGCCTTCAGTAAGTTCATCATATTTTAAATTTGCTAAAAGACTTTGATATTACCCATAATTCTGTTGATAAATACTATAAATGTTTCTTATAATGCTTTGAGTGGGTGCTTTTAATTTTACCCACAAAGCATTTAATTCTGTTCACCATATTTTTAATCAGTGTTCTTCATAAATATTATCTATAATATAGCATTCTGAATTATTTGATATATTTTGAGACTTTGAAACAAATTTTTTTCTTCTCTTTTAGCCTGTCCTTACAGGTTACCGAAATAAAAGTGAATTTACCATTGGAATGAATCTTGAGGGAACAGGTTTGTCTTTTATGTCTTTTCATATCAATTGAGATGATACGGTATTTTGTAATTTGTTTGGTAATTGTGTTCATCTTGTCTGGTTTTCGCACATCCGCACATTGAGAGCACCTCTCTCGACTGAGAAAAAACACTAGTGTTTATATAGCTCTCCCAGTCACAGACCCATGCTGACTACTGGCTAATACCTACCTGGTATCATATGCAAATAGTCTGTACCACCTTTTCTCAACAGCCCATTGTGGGAGGGACACACTTCCTGGTGCTTTTCTCAGGCTGACTTGATTCTCTGTTACAGTAATTTAATTTGTATTTTGTTTCGTAATTAGATATGAAAAATTGTAAAAATGGCAATTTTAGAAATTTTTTTAAATGTTCAGATCTGAATCGTTAAAGAGATGTTTGAATATTTTCTTCTTTTTTTTTTTAATCACCTACCCCCTCCAAGCAAGGTGATAATGCCACTAAGCTGCAAGAGGCTATTGGGAGTGAAAGAGAATGAAAAGAATTGAGAAGGAACCAGAAATACAATCCTGAACAGGAAACAAGGAATAAACCTCTACTCTGTTCAAAAAACCAGGGAGGAGTGGGAACTGGGTGATATCTACTTGAATACTTAGGAGAGTACTATAAATTTTTTTGAGATTGCTGTCACTTGATTTCACGAAATACAAGGCTAGAGAATCACTCAATGTTGACGGTTACTGAATGAAGTAAGAGGAGGAGGTAAGAAATGCGGTTTATTAAGATATGGAGGAAAGATAATAGTTAACCCTAGTCTTTGAAAAGGTTAAGATTGTAGAAATCAGGGAGTTGTGGAAGAATTGGCCACAGTTAATTGGAATTTACAAAGTTCTTAAACAATAAGAAGTGTAAGAAAAAAGAACAGGGCAAAATAATACAAAGCAAACTATATATATATATATATATATATATATATATATATAAAATTAGCTAATGTACCTGGTAATTCCTGGCCTTCAAAATCATCATCAGAGTTCGAATGAAAGAAAATTCCTGAATAAAAACTTTGGATGTTGATGTGGCCAATTTTTGTTTACAAAAAAAAAAAAACTCTGCAAAATTAACATGGGTTAATTGATGTTACACCTCCATATGGAGTCTAGAAGAATTCAAAATGGTGTCAGAAAACAGAAGTTTAGCCTTGTTCCAAAGCAGTAGTAAGCGATTTCAGGCTTAAAATACTGGAAGTAACAATTGACAAGTGTTTATTTATAGAAACTGTCTCAAGGCGACAGAATGCACCTAGAGTAGCAAAGGGAGAATTCTATAGGGACAATTTTTGCCTCAGGTGTGGTAGAATGCGCCTAGAGTAGCAAAGGGAGAATTCTATAGGGACAATTTTTTGCCTCAGGTGTGGTAGAATATGTCTAGAGTAGCAAAGGGGGAATTCTATAGGGACAATTTTTGCCTCAGGTGTGGTAGAATGCACCTAGAGTAGCAAAGGGAGAATTCTATAGGGGCAATTTTCGCCTCAGATGTCATAAAGGTTAATGATGCACATAGCAAAATTTGAAATGAATTAATTCCATATTAAATTAACTGCTAAACACCATGAACTGTGCACCTAAGACCCGGCAACGAGAAGAAGAAACCCTAAGTGTAATTATATTTATTTTTAAAGAAATCACGTCAAATTATATTTTTACAATGTAAACATACCACAGATTGTATTCAAAGAAAGATTATGCTGAATTAATAATCTGCGATTTGATGTCCCCTGAATTTTTAAAATCGAATAAAGATCCATATCTGTCTAGAACTTTAAGCTTTATAAGAGTTATTATTTTGTAACATCTGTATATTTTGCGTAGGACCCGGCAGAGAGCAGCAATCTAGGGGCCCTAGGTGTCTCACTAGAAATTTTTATAAAAAAAGAAAAGTTAGCCTAATAACATAGTGGATGTTAGTTTAACATGTATGCAAAGTTTCATTAATATTGATTCACAGGTTTATGCGTCAACTTGACACAGACAGCAATTGCCATTTTTATTATAGGTATGTGTGTGTGTGTGTGTATTTATATTTATACCAATGGCTTCCCATACTTAACACTTTTCATTTTCATGTGATCATGTGTGATGTCATAAGCCACGGTGTGATTTTCGCTTCCAGCATCTTGTATGCACGAGTTTGTCGTTGCTTGGAAACCTTCCATGCAAATATAAACAGACTATCATTATTGTTTTGTCCGTGTATTGTTTAATATATTGTAATTGTCATCTTTGATAATGGCTTATGTAAGGCAAAAGCTTAGATAGGATTAAAAAATATGTATCAATATGGTAAATTTCTTTCATCTTTCAATGATAATGTTATTAAGCTTATCAGACAATATGAAAGGAATTTGCATAAAATAGACAAAACTTGTCTATATTATTTAATGAAACATGCATCAATATATATATATATATATATATATATATATATATATATATATGAGAAAGATAAATAATGCAAGTCAAAATTAGATAAAAAAAAAAAAAAAAAAAATGAAGTTTTAATAAAGGCCAGAAGTTTTCAAACTAAGAATTGTGTTCTCATGCTAAAGTGATACAGTCAAGGATTTATAGCAATCTTACTTCAAGACAAGAAAGGACAAAAATAAAATGTGGGGCAATGAAACTGAGGATTGTTCATTTTTATTACCTAGGAAGAAATCCCAGCATGCATCTGTAGAATTTGTCTATAAATTTGGGGCAGGGGATGTTCTTAGCAGTCATTTCCTGTTCCTCAAAGTAGCTGCTCTTGGGAAGTGTGGGGAAAATAGAAAGCGGCCTACCCATAAGCGTTCGCATCTTCCTGGCCTGTGGGTTGAGAAAGGAAAGAAAAAAGATTCAAAATGGCGTCCGTGACTTTTAATATTCACGGTCTCATGCAGTCAATTAAAAGTCGCGTTACACACATGCTAATGAGGTGTGTCTGGGCTCCATAAAAGCAGGTTGCTTGGAGACATTGGCAGACCAACATTTCACCCGTGCTTGGTGTACATCGGTTTTGCGTTGCAGACATTTTCAGACGGAAAGAGTTCGTCCCTTACACTGTTTAAGTCGACTCATTTGCTACAAGCTATTTGGCAATTATTACAGCATGGACAGATTCGACTTGAAGTTAATACCAGAGTTCGACGGCTCCCCGCTGGCCCGTCTGTGGTCGAGTGGTGGGAAAAGGCGGCGGGTCTGCCGGCTGTGTAAAATTAAAGATCCCGCACTGGTTATCCCTCTTAGACTCACCAAAGGAGCTTACGCTGTGTATCAGCAGCTAAGGGATGACGACTTGGAGGAAATAAAACAAGCTCTATACGCAGCATTTGGTGCGGACCCTTTGTCGCCTGGAGGCAGTTTTGCGAGCGACGGCTTGGACTGGATGAAACAGTAGATGTCTTTCTGGCGATTTGAGGAAGCTGGCGCACCGTTAATGGAGCAAGCGACCAAATCCTAGGATGCGCGCCTTTCTGGCAGGACTCCCAGACAACGCAAGTCGACTGCTACGAGCATCGTCAAGGCTCAATGAGCTGGGGCTAGGCGAATTACTGGCCAGAGCCGGAATATTCTAAAGATGACGCGGAGCCGGCCTCAGCAGCTGTGGAAGCACCCGCACCGCCAACTGAGGACATAAGGTGCTATAAGTGTGGCGGACTGAACCACTTCTCCAAAGACTGCGAAGCCGTGCGAAGGATACGATAACCGAGGAACACGGAGGACGTATGCGTTGCTACAGGTGCGACAAGCTGGGCCCACGAGCAAGAAGCTGTCCGAAACGGGCAAGGGGATGCTTCTGGCGCCAGTCTTCTCCCCAGATCGCCGCTGAACAAGGCGCTACCGCAGTGAGCGTCTGCGGATTAGGGCGTGGCGCTTGGCGCTTGTTGACACCGGTGCACCCAGACCCCAGCGCAAGGCATGTTGTGACACGTGGGACAAGAAAAATATTCCAGTTCTGACTGTTGGCGGGGCTCGCTAACCTCTTGTGGAGTGGCGTCATCCGGCGCAAGCATCGGCGATGGGCCTGCAGTAGCTGTACAAGCCCTGGTCGTGGGACGGAGGGCTGCTCGGCTATGATCTGCTCCTGGGAATGGACGTCATCAAAAAAATTGGGTGGTGTCCGTGTTTGACGAAGAGGGTCGGGCGCGTTTCACTGAAACAGGTCTAGCTCTAGGTGCAGCAATGGAGCTGGAACGGCCTGACTTTTTCGTCTGGAGTTCGACCAGCGCACAAAGTCCTGGACGGTATCTTGGAAATGGTCAGACGATCAACCGCCAGAGAAGCTGTACAACAGTGTGCGGAGTATAAGATCCCCCCGCGAGCTTGTGCGGAGTACGCGACAAGGAATTTGCGAGCCTGGATTAATAACGGGTGGTTGGTTCCTTATCCAGAGAAGGAATTGGGGCCCCAAAGGGCCTGATCCCGCTAATGGCGGTTCTCCAGCACAACAAACAAAAAGGTGAGGCCGGTGCTCGACTATCGAGAACTGAACGAGCACGTGGACCCTTTTACTGCCGGCGGACGTGTGTACCGAGAAGCTAAGGGAATGGCGACAAGCAGGATCAAATGTATCTGTGCTGGATCTTTCGCAAGGCATACCTTCAAGTGCGTGTGCACCAATCACTGTGGCCCTATCAAACCCGTGTTTATCAAGGGGCAACGCGGTATTGCCTGACCCGCATGGGGTTTGGACTCAATGTGGCGCCATCGATTATGCAGATGATTGTTGGCGCCATTCTAACGGCGATGGCGCATACAGCGGGCAACATCTGCATATATTGATTACGTGAGCGAGGAGTCGTATCTGCGGGCGCGTGAAGGAGCATCTCTACAACTTTGGCCTCCTCAGCAAGGAACCGGAGAGACTACAGGATGGTGCACAGGTGCTTGGTTTGCAGGTCTGGGGAGAAGATAGCGTCCTGTATTGGAAACGGGAAACAAACTCCCAGACATGCCCTCCGTTGTCGCAGCGAAGCATATTTTCCTTTGTCGGCAAGTTAGTTGGACACCTTCCTGTAGGTGGCTGGCTGCGTGTTCGGTGGCGTTTATCAGCGGAGAGCATCTGGCGTCACCACTGGATGGGATGGCGAAGTTCACGGCGCCCCTCTCAACACCATGATGAAGGAGGTCCTCGCTAGAGAAATGCGCAAGGGAAGACCCAGCGCAGGGGCAGATGGTGCGTTGACAGCCAAGACTTCTGTGTGTGTGTTGACGCAAGCTCTCTTGCAACCGGGCGTGTCGATAGTTCACGATGGAGCCGTAGAAGATGCTTGCTGGTTCGCCCAGAAAGGGACTCCCAGCACATAAACCTAGCGGAGCTCGATGCTGTCATCAAGGGGATCAACTTGGCGATCCTCTGAAGTCGACCACCCTGCGTCTGTTCACTGATTCGCTTGCGTTTATAAGTGGATCTCTGATACCTTGACCGGGAGGGCCAGGGTGCGGACTAAAGCCACCAGCGAGATGCTTATCCGACGACGGCTCGACACGATCGTGAATTTAGTGCAAGAGCACGCACTGACAATGGAGGTGTCCCTGGTCAAATCTAGCCTCAACAAAGCAGATTGTTTAACGAGGGTGCGCAAAAGGTGGCTTGACGCGCTAAGAAAGCCATTGAGCCTGTGCAACCAGCCTGCGCTGCGTCGTCCGTGAGTCCCGTTCGATTTAATCAAATCAAAGAAGTCCACCAACAAAGTGGGCACCCTGGAGTCAGCGGACACTGTATTTCGCCAAGTTGGTTGACCCAGGAGTAAAAAAAGACAGACGTCAGGAGAGTGGTCAGAAGCTGCGTGGCGTGCCAGTCTATAGACCCAGCACCCGTTAAGCTGGAAGAAAGGGCAGCTGGCGTGAGGAACCACTGGAGCGGCTGGCGATAGATGTTACTCACCACAGCGGCGAGCATTTCCTGACACTCATTGATTGTGGTCCATCAGGTTTGCGATATGGCGACTGCTGCATCGGCAAGATGCAGCCACTATCATCCGTCAGTTAAACAGCATCTTTCTTGAGCGTGGCCCCCCCAACGGAGATATTAACCGACAATGGCACCGCATTCACCAGCGAGCAGTTGAGAAGTTTGCGGATGGCTGGGGAGTGCACTTACGGTTCGGTGCGCCCATGTACCGGTGGAAATGGAATCATCGGCCCCGGAACCACAGGACCGTCAAGACCATCGCAGCCAGGACGGGCTGCCTGCGGTGTCTGAGGCGGTCTACTTATACAACGTGACCCGAAGGATGATGTCTCACCCTCACGGCGCCAGCGAACACATTGCATAGGTACCACGTTAGAGTGAAGGGCATGAAACCAACCCACTGGCGGAACTGAAAGTAACCGGAGAGAGGCTGAAGAAAGCGATGTCGTCTGGATTAAAAATCCGACAGCAAGTGCACCACGAAATCACGGAATCGGACGCGTCACTGGTGATCAGCCCACAGGCGGAGAATGCGAATTGACGGTGTGCCCGTCCGTTAAGGACCTGCGTCCGTCGGCGCGGTGCAACCACTGCTGGGCGATGAGAGCGAATGGGAATCTGAGACCAGTGAGGCATCGCTCTGGTTCCGCCAGCCCCATCAGGCAGTGACTCGGATATCAGTAGCCTTCAAGGGGCAGCGGTGTCTTTCGACCCTCAGACCTCAGACAGGAGCACAAGCAGCGATGAGGCAGAAAGCGTCCCTCTTCGAAGAAGAGTACCGGCGCAAGCGATCACCACCTCCTGTCAACTCTGTGATCATGAGATCAGGGGGAGTGTGGGAAAATAGAAACGGCCTACCACGCAAGCGTTCTCGCATCTTCCTGGCCTGTGGGTTGAGAAAGGAAAGAAAAGATTCAAAATGGCGTCCGTGACTTTTAATATTCACGGTCTCGTGCAGTCACGCAAAGTCGCGTTACACACATGCTAATGAGGTGTGTCTGGGCTCCATAAAAGCAGGTTGCTTGGAGACATTGGCAGACCAACATTTCACCCGTGCTTGGTGTACATCGGTTTGCGTTGCAGACATTTTCAGACGGAAAGAGTTGCGTCCCTTACACTGTTTAAGTCGACTCATTTGCTACAGGAAGAAGCTCATCTGAATGGAACTTCCTCCTTACTAATGGAATACGAAGGGAATGAAGTGGTCTGCTACTGTGTACATGGCATTGTGAATTCTAAATGTAAAAGTAAAAATGATGGAAAATGAAAAATGTTTGTCCTTTGATGCATTTTTTTTTTTTATTCTCAGAAAGAGAAAAGCAAGCACTGTATAAACAGCAAAAGGCATGTGTGCTATCTGAGGGGATGGTACCATAGCTGAAAGGACTGTTAGGTTAAAAAGTAGAAATATTGATCTGGAAGACCAAGAACATTCAGGGCAGGCCTGCATCCAGTGATGATAACCAAATCCAAATGCTGATTTAAAAATTATTCAGATCTCAGGACATCACAGAGGTACTCCACACATCTCATTTTAGCATTGTGAGGCATTTGAAAATGGTCTGGATTTTGGTACCTCATGATTTAAGGGAAATAAATGGAATATGTTTCCCCACATGTAATTCTTTGCTCAAATACAAGAATGATACATTTTTGAAAAGAAAAATTTAAAGGTGATGAAAAATGGATTGTTTACAACATTGTGAAGCAGAACAGATCCTAGTGGAGATGAAATGAGCCACTATCAACCACTCCAGAAGCCAAGTCTGCATCCAGAAAAGGTGGTGGTGTTTATCTCTTCGGATTACCACTTATTTTGATCCTTACAAAATTCACTTAATGGGAAAAACTTTAATTCTCAGGAAGGTTGTAAAAACCCCTTTGAATCAGTTCCTCTCCAAGAAAGATGCAAAGTTGAGGGAGGATGGAATCATGAAGCTGCCTCAAAGGTGGCGAAAGAAAGTGAAACAAAATGGTGCATATTGTGCACAAATATTTAAATATTGTCTTTGAAATTCACATAAAAGATGCCACGGGCTTCTGTTCTGACCCCACAGTAAAGAAATATATATATTGTTTGACACTGATTTAAATTCTGAGATAATTCACTGTCATTATTCTTCAAGTTTATTTAGACTAATGTCCTCATCTTTACTGGTTTTATCACAATGTTTTGACTGATGTGTTTAGGGATAAAGACAACAATGATGAGTTTATTTGTCCAAACTATAACGTAATACTCTGTTACATTCTTAACTGATTTAAATTCTCAGATGAATCACTGTCGTTATTGCCCTAATCACTTGAACAAGTATCCTCATCTTTGTTATGTCAATCACTTTATTTTGGAGATGTTTTCTCCAACCTACCTGATATACTGAAATTTTGAAATTAGTCAATATCATAATTCTACAAATTTTATATTCTAATATCCTCATCTAACAGTGATGAGGATATTAGTCCAAGTGGAACAGAAAACAGTTTTCTAATGAGTTGAAATAAAAAAAAAATGAACTGATGCTGTTTTTTTTTTGTTTTTTTTAATGATTTTATAGAACGAGTGGTTGGATTCCGATTTGGAAGTTATAGAGAAGGGTCCAGTGCAGTTGGTGACCCAAGCAATTGCTCTATCTTACCTGATGCCATGACAAAAGTAGCAAAGGTTAGTACAGTTTTGTATCTTATATATACAATAGTTTATTTTATACTGTATTAAAATAATTTAGCAATTGTTACACGATATAAAAATGTTTGTTGCTTTGTCTTGTTTAAATTCAATATTTCATGATCCTTTAATTTCTCCCTTTGCTCTAACGAAAAACAGAATTACACTAATTTTGAATATAAACATGTCTTTCCTTTTAAAAGTTTTTTTACCCTACAATCAAAATTTATAACTTTCTTGAACACATTATTTCTACCATAAAGTTGACACTGTTGTAGCATAGCTATGGACAATAATGGTATGTCCCTATCCATATAATTACAGTAGTAAATACTGTATGTTGGTCTGCAGCTGGAGATTCCTTGTAGAATTCACTTGGCTCACTTTTAGCAGCTGACTACTACTACAATGCACTGCTGGCAAATCTTATATGTGTTGTTCTTGTTCTAAGTGTTATCATTCATTACCAATCTTTGTATGATTATTCTATTCAGCAATGTTCCCTAGGTTACAGCAGACACATTCACTATGTTAATTTGTTAACTTCAAAATAATAATTTTAAAAAAAATTCTATTTTGACATTTTCAGAAGATAGATATGAACTAATTATTTATCAAGTTTAACAATAAAAAAACTTTTCTACACCATCAGAAGAGTTCACATAAAAACATGTGTACAAAAACGGTATTTTTTTTTTTTTTTTTTTTTTTTGTAAATACTTAAAATTAAGTATCATTTACTTCCATATGATTGGGTACCGCTAAAGATTTACTAAAAAGTGAGCAGACATGATGAAAAAAAATACCCCAAATTTAATAATAACACTTTTTTTTTTTTTTTTTTTTTTCATGAAAATCTTTATTATTAAGAGGAAAGACCAAAGGTATATTTATTATTAAATTATATTTTCTCATCCTTTTTAAAATCTTCAAAATTTTGGTTTTCTTACATCAATGGGTGACCATAAATTAGTTTGTGAAATTTTAGCGTTTTTGCGGTTAAAAACTCATAGATTTGGAAATTCTTATAAAATCAGGTAATTGTCGGAATTTAATGAAATTTTCAAAACATTCAGAAATGAATGAAATTATTTTAGAAAGCTTTCTTTTTTAGGAAATCTTACTAAAAATATATATATTATAAAGAGGTAATCATACAAAGAATCAATTGGTAATATTAATGTAATTAATGGCAAAAGCTCTTTGCTAACAGACTTTTAATGTACTTGCTGCTCTAAAAATGCCAGATCCATCTGACAGTAATTTTATACATAAGGATTGTGTTACTCAATGGATTGTTAGTAAGTTAATGCTTTATTAAGTTTGTTAGCGAAGAGATTTTGCCATTAATTACATTAATGTTATTCATTCTTTGCATGGTTACCTGTTTGTTTATATTATGCCCAAAATATATATATATATATATATATATATATATATATATATATATATATATATATTACATCTTTTACCCTTTCCCTCACTTATTTGATTTTATGAAATTTTGAGAAATTCATTTTTGTAGCACTTAATGTTTATATTAGTTATAAGCACAAGTCCTTGGAGAATTTAAATCATTGATTTTTTTTTTTTTTTTTTTTTAAAACATTACCCCAGTTACTGAAAATCTTGTCTGAACCATAAAAAAATGCAATAAAACTAACACATTATTTAATTAGAAAAGCTTTTACTTGTGTTTATGAATAAAATTGAACTGTAAAGCGTTCTCAAAGCAAATTTGTTCAGGAAAATAACTCACTCTCCAACAAACGCCCGTAGCCAAAAATGCCAATTTTCCTTCTTCGCAGATCGCACACAAAACACGAACTTTTTTTCCGGGTACCTGATTATCTCGTTCACTACCTCCCCCTGTCACATAAGTGACACTCATGGCCCGACCTCTTTATTCTTAAGCTTCTCCGGGCCGGGGCGACTGTTGGAGGAGATTGTGTGTTATGTTCTGAGGTTTCTTCTGATCTGACAACCTCATGCGCAGAGTCTTCATCATCTGAAGAATGTTCTGAAGATTCTTCTTCTGAGGATTCTTCTGGTCTGACAACCTCACGCAGTCTTCACCATCTGAAGAGGTGCTAGCTCTACCTCCGATGGTAATTATTTGTTCACTTTCTGAGCACTCACTGCTAGTGTCACTTGTTGGCGTATCTGTACCTACATAGCGGCGCAAGTCCTTTATGTGTCTTGGTATGCCATCAACCAGCACAGAACACGAGTTACTTAGTCCAGTGACATGCCCCACCCGTACCGGGTTGTACACCGCTATGTGGAGATTTCACCCACACACGATCGTTTATCCGTTCAGTTGAGCGCGTTGCGTCAATGCCTCGTAGCGGACTTTGTACTGATAAATCATGTTGGCTGACGCAGTTGAGGGCGATACATTATTGTCTCGGAGTAACATTGTACCAATACACCGCCCCATTATGGAACACTGCTTCCTATGGCGATTCTTTTGATGCTCCCATGACATCGCCGATTATGCCATTCCCTGATGGGACATGGCGCAGCGAAAATCTGAGGTGTACTCCCCACAAATCCACAAAATCTTTGAATAGTCCACTGCGGAATGCAGTGTCGTTGTCAGTGAGGAGTTCAAAGAACAATGACCCCAAGTGGTCAATGACGCTTGCGGAATCCTGTTGACGAGACGCCGCCAAATAGTGAACCGGGTTGGGCCACGAACCAGTCAGTTCCAAACGCGGTTAGTAGAGTGTGCTTTATTTGCTCAATGTCACTTTTCTGTTCTTTACTCAGCTGCCTATACACAGCAAGGGCACCGCCATTCAATCGCAGAGGAAGAATCTGATCAATCTTCGATATCTCGCATAATTCGCAGACCAGTTCCACCTTTTCGATCCATTCAACCACAGACTGTCCACTAGTATCACCACTGAATTAGGGGATCAGTTTTTATATCGAGCAGTCTTTCCGCCATCTTGCGAGAGAGACAAAGTAAATGCGAAATAGCTTGAACTGTAAGCGTTCTCAAAGCAAATTTGTTCAGGAAAATAACTCACACTCCAACAAACGCCGTAGCCAAAAATGCCCGAATTTTCCTTCTTCGGCAGATCGCACACAAAACACGAACTTTTTTCCGGGGTACCTGATTATCTCGTTCACTACAAAAATATATTATGGACACTATTGTCTTAAGAAAAATGTTTTTTTAATGTATTTTTACAAGAAATGTTTTCATATTTTTTATTTAATTATAATAATTTATGAAGTTTTTAATCTTTTAAAATTAAGTAATTTTTAATGGTTAGGTGATATTGTTATTAAGTAAAAACTATATTTACTAATCATAAATGGATACAATAATAAACCCCCCACCCCAGTATTTTAAAAAGAATTTTTTGTTTTTTTCTGTGGGTATATAAACATGCTGATTTTTGTAAATGCTGGCATCCATACACAAAATTATCAGAAAATAAGAGCGGGTAACTACAGTAAATTTAAAATGTATTTAAAATTTTCAAGCTTTTCCTTAACATGCACCTTTGCAAGTAAGGCTATGAAGCCAAAGTTCATAAAATTCAATAAAATTATAGATTATTTAGAATATTTTCCCAAATTTTTAAGATTACTGGGTAGTTAAAAAAAAAAATATATAAAAGTACTCACATTTGTCAAGTAATTTTTAAAGTTATGTCCCTCATAGAAAAAAATTCACAAACAAGAAAGTTGTTAACACTTCATAAAAAATACCCACCTCTGTGATAAAAAAAAAATGCTTTCTATGACATTTTAAACTAAAAGTATGTATTATTTGTTTCAAATCAGATTGATTAAAATTTAAATCAGCTAATATTCCATAAAGAAAATTTGAGAAAAGTATATTTATTTTTGAAAGACATTTTAATAAAGGGTATCATGTTGTTATCAAGCCATTCAGTGGAGAAACTTTGCACAAACACACTAACTTTAGAGGCTGCTCGAGAGCAAGGCAGACTGCCCTCTCAACCATTAGGCTATGAAAATGACCTCCTGTGAACACAGAAAGAGAATGGACTCCGCTATCAACGCAACAAGCCCAAACCAATAGCCAACAGTTAACTGGTTTAAGCATTCTCCTTTTCCAGGCTATTATTTTACACCTCGTACACTACATTCAAATGCTACACTATACGACTTAACCAGAGCCATTTTCATTTAAATGAAAATCAATCTTTCATCATTTCTCCAAACCAGTGTCTAATTTGTTTCTTTATTCCAACCAACTTCCACCTCGGATCATAGTAATGTTAGAATTTAGATTTATTCAGTAAAAATTGGTAAAAATGTAGCCACTTGAACTCTTAGTCTTTCTCTAAATTGCTGGTCACTTATAACAATCTGGGGGGAAACAGCAAGCATCTGCCATTTTAGCATGGCTACAAGGCCATAAAGAGTAACAAGAAAGCAGTTACACGTAACATGTATAAAAACAACCTGTACAGATTTAAGAAAATTACTGATTCTATGGAAAGCAAAATGAGACATGTTGCCAGGAAATAAACTTTATGAATGCCAACCAAGCATCAGACAAGAATACACAAAGAGACTAAACTATGTTAACAAGAGTTCATATTAGATATCCAAGACTAAGAGCTGAAGATGAACTCTATGCAATCATAGATTGAAGCACATTCTGATTGGATGTAAAAGTGATCAGCTTAAATGTAGTAAATACAACAATATCAGAAATATAAAAAAACATTATTTACATTATTCGGACTATTGTCCTCATCTTTGTCATCATATTTATTACAACGTTTCGGCTGTTGTATGCTCCAGGCTTCTTCAGGTGGTTGGAATGTCGAACTGAACCCTTTATTTCGCTCACTGGGGTAGACTCTTCTAGTTCCATGTGCCATGTTTTAATGGATGTCAGTTATCTCCTGTTAATTCCCCTCTCCAAGTTCTCCACTGCCTTGACCACTGTCCTCAAGGACACATGGCACAGTGGATAAAGGCATTAGTTAGATCCAGTGACAGGACCCAAAGAGTGTGAGTTCTATAAATTCAAGGCAGTGGAGAAATTTCAGAGGGAAATTAACAGGAGATAACTGATAACTGACATCCATTAAAACATGGCACATGGAACTAGACCAGTCTACCCCAGTGAGCGAAATAAAGGGTTTCAGTTCGACCTTCCAACCACCTGAAGAAGCTTGGAGCATACAACGGCCGAAATGTTGTAATAAATATGGCGACAAAGATGAGGACAATAGTCCAAATAATGTAAATATTGTACTTATACCTCATCTCAGAAATCTAGACAGATAAAAAAAAACATGTTTCAAAATGATGCCCTTGGCCAGATTATAGGGGTTTTCAAAGAAATAAGAATTTTTAAAATTCCTTTAAAAATTGTTTATGTATGAGTATATAAGAAGGACTGGTTTAAACATTTCAAATTGACACATTAAACAAACTATTTAAAATGAATTGTAGTCTCTAAACTTATCAGGTCAAGGATTCTTCTGACTTGTTCCTTCCAACCATCTCTGTCAGACATTGCTGTTAGCACGTTCTCCAGATGGCATCCAGTGTCATCTACAAGTTGGTCAATGTAGGTGTAATGAGGTTTTCCAATTGATCTTTTGCTGTGCAATGGGTTCCATAGGAGGGGATCACTCACAAGTTCTGACTGACTTCTCCAAGATTGACCAGCTACTCAAAGCCTTCTCTCTCTCTCAGCAAAACTGACATAGGAGGAAGATGTCCATGCAGGCATTTCTTTGTTGGGTGTTTCTTCCAGCTGATGTCCAATGCAACTCGTAACATCCTTGTGTTTCTTTGAGAAACTTCACACACACACACACTCTAGGATATGTGACAGATTCCTCTTAGTCACTAAACTAAGCCCCTCTAATTTAAAAAAAAAAAAAAGGAATATATATATATATATAGTGTGTATTGAATTGTTTACATACCTAGGAAGTGAAATAAATTCTAAAGAAAAGGATGTGAAAATTTGCATATCTAAAGCCTGGGCTACATTGAATAAAATACATGTAATCTGATTGTAATTTGATCTACCAGACAACCTTAAACGGAGCTTCTTTCAAGCAACTGTAGAGACAATGTTAATATATGGTGCCACTGTTTGACAATTGAGGTAATCTTGATGGAACCTACACTCAGATACTGAGAGATGTACATAATATCTCTTGGTGACAGCATCTAAATAAATCACAGCTCTATTGACCCATCCCTGATATTTCTACAATCTTACATGATTGTAGAATGTAGGACACTGTTGGCATGCAAAACAACAACTTACGAGTGATCTATTGCTCTCACCTCGTCATGGAGCAAGACAAGTTGGTCACCCAGCAACCACCTACATTGACCAGTTATGTTATAACACAGGAGGTCTCCCTAATGACCTTCCAACCTTGCAGGAACATGATAGATTCATGAATGCTTGCATTAGCTTAGCCAAATAAAAAAAATGTTTTCACCTGGTTGGTGTAAAATGACCCATCATGGTTGACACACTGTTAAACAAAATCTGATCAAACAACCAATTCTTAATCTAGTCATCCCAAATTTCCTCTGGCTCCACAGTCCTGGATTCAAGGTAGCTTTTCAAGAGGGAAAAACCCTATTTAATCAGCACTCTTTATAATTAGGTGTTCAACCATTAAATCACTTAGTATTTAGCCTTGAAAATTCAAAACAAATCTTCAAGACATTATTTACATTATTTAAACTATTGTCCTCATCTTTGTCACCATATATATCACAACGTTTCGGCCGTTAAACGCTCCGGCCTTCTTCAGGTGGTTGGACCCTGCCGAGTTCTCAAGGACACATGGCACAATGGATAAAGGCATTGGTTAGATCCAGTGACAAGACCCAAAGAGTGTGAGTTCAATACCCGGTTAAGGCAGTGGAGAACTTTCAGAGGGAAAATTAACAGGAGATAACTGATAGCTGACATCCATCAAACATGGCACGTGGAACTAGAACAGTCTACCCCAGTGAGCGAAATAAAGGGTTCAGTTTGACATTCCAACCACCTGAAGAAGGCCAGAGCGGTTAGCGGCAAACGCCAGGATGTATATGGCGACAAAGATGAGGATAATAGTCCGAATAATGTAAATAATGTACATAATACCTCATCTCTGAAATATAGACACTCTATATCTTCAAGGTTTATTTAAGTGGCAAGGGAATCAAATCGGTCATTTATATTTATATGTAAACGCCTATCAAATCACTTAAATTACATCACATGAGTTCACTAATTATTAAATGGCTGTCACATGAAACAAAATCAAATTTCTAATTTTGCAATTTTCGTTTTTTTCTCATATGAGCAAGAGGAAATGGTTGTAATGGTACAACTCAGTTTAATAAAGTAGGAAAAATGGTTTTAAAAATGCCAACATCCTGAAGGGACATGTCACATAGAACAACAACAATAAAGCAGAGTGTAGGGAATATTAGATGCATGCCTTATTCAAAACTATTGAAACTAACAAACTAAATTCAAATTTTAATAAACAATGCTAAGCCATAACTTTTTTTGAGATTTGATTTTTGAGTCACTTTGCCATCAAAAAAAAAAAGTTGGTAAAATGATTCAAAAATCAAAATAATTGGATTACTTTCTGGACTTTGTCTTCCATTTTCTCTAATCTGCAGGTTTTCCAAGAATTTGTCCATCAAAGTCAATACCCAGTTTATGATGCACAGACACATGAAGGTTATTGGCGTCAGTTGACCGTCCGTACCACAACCCTGGGAGATATTATGGCCATTCCAGAATTTTGTTCTCAACAACTTAGCCTTGTAAGTGACCAGACACTGTCATATTTTGGATAAGTCCTTTTTTTTTTTTTTTTTTTTTTTTTTTTTTTTTTTTTTAAACTTTTTTGAGACTTTCAGAGAATCTTTTTTTTTTTTTTCTTTTTAAACCAAAAACCTTTGACAAATTATGCATTTGTTAAAGTTACACCTTTAAGTGCTGAATCTATGTGCGTCGTTAGTGGGTCTAAATAAACAACAGACTTCTTCGATGGATGACCCAACTGAATATGATCAATATTCAGCCTGCACCCAGAGTAAATTTTCTACTAGCTTTAGGATGTGCTTTATATAAGTTCGCCCAGAAAACGGCAACTAATCAAGTCTACACTTAGGCTATTCGATGTTATAGATTGGGTATGCTTGGTTGTACCGAATTTCCTACATGTGACCAAGACAGGGTGTTGTTTTTAGGAAGAAGAAGAAAAAGACAAACCCAATGAATATATATACATAAATATAATAAAAAAAAAACTAGTTATTATATTGGTTTGTCTTATGATTTACTTTTCTTTCTCTTTCTCCCCTTTTAAATTCTTTATTCTTTCTTATTTGTTTCATCTTTTTCTGTTTTTATAACTTTTCTTTTTATTCTTAACTACACTTAAAAAAACTTAAAATAGAGTGATTAAAATGACAGACTATTTACAAAAAAAAATCTAAAATATGGTATGAATAATTTGGGATATTGCTTGATAATCTAATAAATTTTATTTAAAAATTAAGAGAAATAACATTTAACTAAAATTTCTTAAAATAAATTAATCAAAATCTTTTAAGCTCATTTTTAATTAATCAAAATAATTTTGTATTTCAGATGAAAAATATGTAGTAAACAAGTTTCTGGATGTGTGGGTGGTGTAATGGATAGTGGCTAGCTATGTGAAATCTGAGAATAGTTTGAATTTCAATTGTGTTTGCTAGATTCACTTACACACAAGTACCCCCTGGGAAAGCTATGAATCCATATCCTCCAACCAACTATGGGTTAAATAGTAGGAACTGTATCTAGAAAAATCATTATTATTCTAAAAAAAAATGTTAATGCAATATTTACTGGTAAAGAAAAAGAATTCTTATCATATTAGATATCATTTCTCAATTTGTTCTTACATAGGTAGGATAATGCAAATTGTTGGTGCTGAATGTCTGTTTAGATTGGCAAGGTCAGAAACACAGGTACCATCTTCATGCTTCTGAATGATTTCCTTCATTTGCACGGATATTTTTTTCTCTCTTCTTAGTAACAATCAGCTTCTTGGGCGACATCGTGGGCAACAAAAATTATGAAAAAATTCCCCACTCAAATTTAATATTTATTCTACATATACAGTAATATTTACGGTAAGACATTAAACTGCACAGTACAGTAACTGTATAGAAAAATGTAAAGTTACAAACTGCAGTGATGAAATGCATCGTATAAGAGAGGGGAAGAGAGAGATAGTGAGAGAGAGAAGGAGAGAGAGAGAGTAAAGTTACAAACCGCAGTGATGAAATGCATCGTACAAAGTGCAGTGATGAAATGCACCGTATAAGAGAGAGGGAAAGTGAGAGAGAGAAAGAGAGAGAGAGAGAGAGATAAAGTTACAAAGTGCAGTGATGAAATGCATCTTACAAATCAACCTGAACAGGATGCAGAGTTTATTTTACTGCATAGTTTACTTGCTGTATCTGCATTTTATACATTTTATTTGACTCTAATTAAACTTTATAATTTTTTTACATTTTTCTATTTGACTGTATTGAAATCAATTTAAAATTCAATGATTATACATTGTATATTAGACTAAAACACACTTTACATTACATAGAGTTTAAATGAAACAATCTCAGTATTGTCACATTTTATCTATGTTTAATTCAACATATTTTCATAAAATCTTCATGTTACTTTACAGTGCAGTACTGTATTCATTACTGTACATAAACGTTTGCACATTATTAATTCTTTTTACACTTACACTAATATAATCACAAATATATGTATACAACAAATGTTTATTTTATGAGGTAACAAAGAGGATTGAACAGGATAATGCAATGCTCATAGCATTACATGACATCTAATGTGATGGAACTGTATGGAAATATCTACTGTATAATAATATAATACAGTAATGTATATAAAATAATGTACATTGTTTTCATAACATAAAAATATAAGAATAAAAACTACAGTATAAAATATATCTGCAAGTATTTAGTAGAGTACAGTATAAAAATACAGTAATATTGTATAATACTACAGTATTATATTATATATAATAATAATAATATATAAATCATAAAAATATCAAATACAGTATATTTAGATAAGATTAAAAAGTATTTACAATACATTGACATCAAGTTTGGAATGCAATCTTTGTAAGTGGAAACAGATTTTCTGACAAATTTTTGTTCATATTGTGAGTTTTTCGTAAGTGGAGGTGTTCGTAAGTCGCATTAAGAGAAAATTGGGTGAGGCTTCTCCTTTGTTGTTTAATGTTTTACCTCATAATATTTTATGCTAACACCCAGTTGCATTTTACTATATTAGAATTTTTTATACCACACTGACACATGTTGAAATTCTCACAGTATTTAGTATTGCTGAAGTTATCGCTAACATTTTTTGTTGAGATTTACAAACCAATCAATGAAATTTGAATAAGCTGATTTGTTTGGAAAAAATACTTTGACAAAAACCCTACTTTGTGGTTTAATAATTTCTTTAATTTTGTAGGACTTCATGGTAAACAATATTTTTTAAGAAAATTTATTTTTTTGCTTTTTAACAGGATATTGTTAGGATTTCTTACTCTTGAGCATGCAACATACAACTGGACATGTGTAAATATTTCTTTCTGGAGCCAAATTCCAACTTTTTGAAGCATTTGGCCTTGTGATTTGTTTATAGTTCTTGCAAACACAGTGAACTGGATTCTTGTACAGATAAAAACTTAAAAGATATGCAAAAAACAATATTGCATAAGTATTTTAATCATTAAATTTTTTTTAGAATGGTGGGAGTATTTAGTATATTAAATAAAAAAATTTTTTAATTTTTCCACAAAAATTAATGAAAATTTATCATACTAAGATACATACCCTAGTAAAACCAACTGTACTTGGTACCCCCTTACTGGAATAAGTATTTCCTCCTCTCTCTCTCTCTCTCTCTCTCTCTCTCTCTGTCTATCTATCTCTCTACTGTTGTCTTCACATATAACAGTTTTGCTTAATTTAATTTTTTGCTCATGAAAAATTAACTTAATGATTCCATTCATCTGTTTTGGGTGCCAAAACACTGCCAGGTTAATGGCAAACTTTAATCTAAAGTTCTTATATATCTAGGATCTCGTAATTTCTTCATAGAAGTGAATAATTTGAAAACATCTCAGATTACAAAAGAAATCATCAGATTTGGGATTAATGTTGTTTAGTCCTTTCTGGTCGTAATTTGCTAATTGCTGTTGAACTGTGAGTCAGCCATTTCTGATTGTAACTTGCTGGTTTCAACAAGTTTAGCACTGGAACTTCACGATATTGAACAAGCATTCCAATTAATGATCATTGGAACTGACTTGAAACAAATTGTACCAGATGAAGACAATTTGAATAATCCAAGGAATGATGATTAGATTTCATTTTTAGGTAATGACGAAAGCCAGGAAGTGCACTTTGAAAACAGCAAAGATGAGAATACTAGTTTTTAAAAAAAAAAAAAAATTGTGGAATAAAGTTACTAGTCTTAGAACATGATCTCCAAAGTCATTTTTATTTTATTTTTTTTAGGCAGACATTGAAGAAGTGAAAAATTCTTTGAAAACATTTTTTTCTGAAGGACCTGGAAAAGAATGTGGAGTGACATGTTTGTATTTCAATTGTTTGAACAACAAGTAAGGGTACCAATTTTTTTTTATTTTTTTTTTTTTTTTTGTTTTATTGGATATCAACCCAGCACCCACCTGAACAGACTTCATTAAAGTAAATTACATTCATGAATATAATTTTGCTCAGGCATTGAAAGTGCTATGATCTATGAACTCCCTATGATTAATATGCAACAAGACTATTTCTGTTTATCACTTCTGCTTACTAAATTCACTCTGCAAAAATATGAAATGCATAAAACTTAAAAAAATAGATAAATAAAAACAGTGAAAGTTAAAATCAAATTATTCTGATAATACAGAGTGAAAATAAAGTGTTCAGCTGCTTAACATAAATCCTGTTTTGTTAATGCAGATTTCGTTGAAATAAAATCCTTTTTCTGATGAAGCTGATTCATTGGTAGAAACATCTCAAAATTGAAATTTTCCAAATCATTTCATTCTAACTTTTATGTATGTAGGGATATATATATATATATATATATATATAAAACAAAATGTGCAGTTTTGTAGTGGATATTTACATGCTCTAATGTAACAGTGCATAATATGTGTGTGTGTGTGTCATCCACAGACAGACTGTTTCGCTGTGTCACGGCTCCTCAGTGTGGCTAGACGTCCGATTGCTTCAAGCCAGGATTGAAACCTGACTGATTTGACATCAGTCAGATATCTTACCCCTAGGCTATCGTTGCCTGGCAGAAAGGAAGGGAATTTTAATGTTTTTCCCTATGCGAAATACACCAGTAGCTCAGAGAACTCAATACATACTTGAAGAGTTATATATATATATATATATATATATAGGTTTCTATCAGACTCGATGAATTAATTAAAATATAATTATCAAATCCTCCTACTAATTACTATCTGTGTTTATCATAGCTTGAACCGGCTTCTAATGCTCTGGATGGAGCGGCTTGGTGAGAGTAGTCGTGGCTCTGGTGCGCACAGTCCTATGGTTAAGAGAGCTCAGTTGGGTTCCACCACGGAATATGTGAGCAAGCGGCGCTAAGTTGAGTCTGATTTGGAATCTCTTCGTCACTGAGGCCCATTTGGAACAGTTGGTATGATGTTCGCTTGACAACCCAACTGTCAGGGTTTCAATCCTCGGTGGTGGATGTGCACTGCTGATGAGTCCCAAATATAGGACTAAACGGCCGTCAGTGCTTCCTGCATTCTGTTGAGGTTTCTATCAGACTCAATGAATTAATTAAATATATATATATATATATATATATATATATATATATATATATATATATATATATATATAAAGCAACAAAAACAATAAAAAAATGTTTTCATATATTTGATAATTTTATGCTTTTATCCATTAAGGTAATAGTAATTTGAAGTGGTACATTTGATAGTGAACATCCTGTGTAAAATATATATGGTTGTTCGGTGTCATGGTAGAGGTGATCCCAAGAGCGAAGCCATCTGGAGTTCCAACTCTTGTAGGGCTACCCCAGGCCAGTAAAATATATATGGTTGTTCGGTGTCATGGTAGAGGGCTTGAATGTCCCAGTGATCCCAAGAGCGAAGCCATCTGGAGTTCCAACTCTTGTAGGGCTACCCCAGGCCAGTAAGGTCAAAGAGGAGGGACTAGACCCCAAAATATTCCAACAGTGGAATAGGCAAAGTTCGACATGATCTCAATGGCTAAACCAGTGGAATAGGCCAGCACTAGTCAGGCTGGCATAAATGGAACAAGCATCTGACAGCTCAATGCAACCAGTTTTGTCAGATCTCACTGATCCCATTCCACTTTGAGCTGTGAGGGAAGTACTTCTGGCAAAGTGTGTGAGCTTCGTCACACACAGATGCCTACCAAAATCAAATCCGTGCAAATGGCCTTGTCAAATTCTCTTTGACTTCACTTTCTTCCACCCTTCACCAAGTCCAGAAGCGGTGGTCCTGGAGACAGGAGAAAATGACAATTCCAATACAAGCAGATGCCAACAGGGATATGTGATCACTCACCAGTAGCAAGTTTCATGCACAACGCAATCTTCAGGTGCTGAGTATATTAACACCAGCACTCATACATATATATATATATATATATATATATCTACTAGCAGTAGAGCCCGGGGATGTAACAGTTGAGTAAGATATAGATCAAGTATCGACCATCATAAAGACTGAAAAATAAAATTGACAAAGATTATTGTTTAAGGTTGACGGACACTCATGTCTTAATTAGTTTTTTTTTTTTTTTTTTATTGAATTGGTCAAACCTAAACTCAAACAAAAAACATTGTTTTCAATCGTTATGAGTCTATTGATGGAATAGAATTTTATTATAAACAATTGTCTTGTAAATGGAATTTTTAAAGCATTCTGAATGTAAAAATAAAAAAAAAAGTGTGCAAGACAATAACACTACCTGCCAAAAAAAAAAAGTGTAGTTTTGTTGAAATCGGTTGAAAAATGTAGGAAATTCGATCCCATATATAAACAAACACACACACACACACACACACACACACACACACACACACACAACCTGGGTTTTATAATAAGTATACCTCGATATGAGTTGTCCCCCTTTCATTCTGGCGACAGAATCGTGTTTTATCGTGTTTTCAAATTGATTTCATGCAAAAACAATTGTGTTTTTCCCATTTTTGGCGCTGTCAGAACCACTGCAAGGTAATTTTACGAAGTCCTGTGAAGTTTTGTTGAAATCGGTTGAAAAATGTAGGAAATCCGATCCAATATATAAACGTACAGACACACACACAATCTGCATTTTATAAGTAAGATATATATAGTCAATTTTCTCAAAACTTGTAATGAGCCAAAATGGACACATGACCCAAGTGTTTTGAGTTGGAAGTTAAGCAGTGCAAGTAAAAATTTGACCACTAAAATCTGTTCATATTTACACAAAGGGAACTCATGGTTTTCTTGGAGGGCAACCTGTCAGTGACAGGTCTGAGCCTGAGTAACAGTGATAACCTAGATTTGCCACTGATATATGATGGACTCTCCCATCAATTTCAACGTATGAGGATCTGACAACCGCATTCAGTTTTTATGTTTGTGTCATATGCGATACTTCAGTCCCACTAGTGACCTGCATACATATTCACGTATTGTGCAACAATGAGGATCTCGGGACATAGCAACAGGAATATTTGCTGATGCTTTACACTGTTGTCTTTTGTCTCAACATATGACAGAAAAGAATAGATATGTTCATATCTATTTATGCATGAATGCTCTTCTCTATATAAGCAGAGTAATTCTACTGATTGATTTTCTTATTTGATTTATCTTTGTCTCTCTGCAGACACGCCAGTTCAGGACGTTCCAATGAATATGAATTTCTGATGGGAGAGGAGGTGAGAAAGAAAAAACAAAACATATCTGCTTTTTTTTTCACTTTGGCTTTTGCTCTTATTTTGTTTTTCTTCACCCCCTTTTATTTATCTCCAACCTGTCCCCCATTTCTTTCTCCTACTGTGTAAAACTCCTTTTTTTTTTCTTTCTACACAACCTTGGTGGCATTATGGTTATTGATAAAGATCTTCTAGTTATCACTCACCTGAGGTACATTTTTTTTTTTTTTTTTTTTTTTTAAGTATTTTGAATAGAAAGATTTTGGCAATATGCCCACAAAAGGAACAAAAAAAGAATATGGTGTTTTCAATGGATGGTTTTTCTGTTAACACTACTATTAATTTAACCTACCAAGACTTCCTCAGTGATATTTATTTACAAGATTATAAGAATACATGTACCAAATACAATTTAGTATTATTTACTATTTTATAAAAAAAATATGTAAATTCTTTTGTGTGTATTAATGTTATTAGTTATGATAGATTTGTATATTATGTTATTGGTTAAACATTTATTGTTAAGTAGGCAATTTTATTTATATACACTGTTTATATTGGCTGCTTTTCATGTAAAGACTATTAAAAAGAGTAGACATTTTATGTCTATTTAATTTATTAATGTTTTTTTGGCAAATGTGGTATTGTGGATGTAAAAAATGTAAAGGTCTGAACTGAAGGCACATTTGAACATTGGCCATAGAAATAGCAATAGACTTGAGACATTTCATCTCTGGGGAAACGGTTTGTAGGGTGAAAAATAGTTATTTATTATTTACCAGTTGTTTGAAATTTATAAAATAGTGAATAATAAAGATTTTATTATAGTTGGTTCATGTATTGATTTAGTAAATTTTTATAAACTTATGAATAAAAAAAATTGTTTTCATATTTTTCTTTATAAATTGGTAAATGATAAACATTGCATTTATATTAGATCACATTTTTAGAATGATGTAAATATAACATTATCCTTGTAAATAATCTACTAATGTTTAAATATTTTTGTTGTAAATTCTTAAAAAAAAAAAATGTATAAATTTACTTTCATGTGTTTGGGTTTTATTGAAATTCTAATGATTTCTTTTCCAAGAAAATAAACATTGTTAAAGGAGAGAAGGTAGTACCAAATAATATTGGTGTCAAAGGAAAAACAGTCTTTTTCACACACTGTTTTATTGCAGGCATGTACGTTAAACTTTGTTGAAATTTCTTTGTGGAGAATCTTAAAGGTCAGTCACATCCTACGACAACCTGATGACCACCTTACTCTATAGGTTTTCTTTCTCCATTATTCAGATATCTTAAGGATTTTGTATTTTCTTCCTAAATTGTAATGATTCAGCTAGGAATAGACAAGCCACTATTTCAAAGTGGAAAACATAAGATTTCTTTTTTTTTTTTTTTAATTCAAATATCTCCCTGATCTTTATTTAATCTTTCAAAATTGCCAGATCACAGCATGGATTTTGCTTGAATCCAATTAATTATCATGTTTATGGTTTTGTCTTTCAGTTTTATTAAAAAAAAACATTTTTTTTTCTTAGTGGATTACTGAAAGTCTTCTTGACCTGAAATTCCAAATCTCACCTGATGCCTTTTTTCAAGGTAATCTTTTTTTTTTCTTTTTTTCCTTAATAAAATTGAACTGAATGAAAACATTTTAATAATTGACAGACTTGTGTCTTTTACTTTTTCTTAAACTTCAAACATTTGAAATCTCTGGGCATTTCTGTAGAATTTCTTTGACTCACTGTCTGTGGCATCCATTCTTTAGTAATAAGCTTGAATCTAACGGAATGCCCTACTACTCTGCATATATAAATATATGCACCAGCACATGATCGATAATTAACTCACCTATTAACAGGGTGTGGCAAAAATACCTCCCGTATAATGGTAAGTTGAAAACAGCATTGCCACTAATGTTGTGGGAAGTATTTGAGCTGCACTTTGTCTATTATAAATGTTACATTTTAATGAATCTCTGCACTTGAATAAAAAGCTTCTTTTTCTCTCATTAAGTTTTATATTCCCCTTTTCTTTTTTTCTTTTTTACTTATAAAAGACCTGGCATCATACGGGCATTGGATTCTGAAAAATGGATAAAAATATTCAAAATTGATGGGTGTACAAATAATTTCATCAATGACTTTATATGTACATATTACACACACACACACACACACACACACACATATAGTGCACATCCACTACCAAGAATCAAACCTAGACCATTACAATATAATGTGTCATACCACTAGACCAACAGGCCTCAGTGACAAAGAAGAAACAGACTAGACTTGATATAGAGTCCAGTCTTATATATATATATATATATATATATATTATAAATTAATTGATTTAAAATATGGTTATTTTTGCTACACAGTTCAACCATGTTTCAAAAATGAAGCTAAAACCCTAATTTTATTTTGCAAATAAATTAAAAGTTAGTTCAATTTCATCTTGAAGATGAAATTTAGAAGTAACTTTTAATTTATTTGCAAAAAAATAAAATTAGGGTTTTGAAGATATTTTCTATTTTTGAAACATGGTTGAATTTGGTTTCGAAAATAACCATATTTTTAAATCAATTAATTTATAATATTAATGCTCTGTAAATTTACATTGAGCACTATTTTGTAAAAATAAAATATCTATAAGAACACCGGATTTTATATCTTACTGTTCTTTTCTTTTATTTTTATTTATATATATATATATATATATATATATATGTACACACACACACACACATATATATATATATACACATATATATATATATATATATATATATATGTACATATATATATATATATATATATATATATACACATATATATATATATATATATATGTACACACACATATATATATATATATATATATACACACACACATATATATATATATATATATATATATATATACACACACACACATATATATATATATATATATATATACACACACATATATATATATATATATACACACACATATATATATATATATATAATTAAATCAAAGAAAAGAAATAGCTTAGTTTTTGTCAAATTGCCAAATTTTTCCTTAAGTAATAGCTAATTTTTATAAAAAAATGAAACTAACATATTTGTATTTGATCATAAATAAAATAGTTTATGAATACATAATTAGATTCTATTATATTAAATTTAACATTACCATATATGTACCCAATTAGTAAATAAATTAGATATCTTAAGTCACTACGAATATATATATATATATATATATATTAAAAATGTGACTAATAATATCTGAATGCCTCTGTTGAAAAAATCATAATTGAAATTTATATAAAAATAACGATTAAATAAAAAATAAAAATGCCAAATGTATTGCTATTGAAACCCAAACGATGTCTTGGAACATAAACACTACTACAAATTTCTATTTGAAAAAAGGAAATTTGTATCAATAGACAGATAACCCCAGGCCCCACCTTGACTTGACCGTCTTGATATCTACAATATATTAGATACATGAGTTTTCTAAATAAGTTAAATCTTAACATCCCTAAAATAAAAAAGATGTTTTACTTAACTGTATCCAATAATAATGCATGTAAATAGTCACATATTAGTATTGTATTATAAATTACAAACATGGCGAATATGTATCTTTTTCATTGTTTACATTTATAGGATGTTTAGCTGTTTCTTGTTTGGTTGGTTATGGCTGTATTTTAGGGTAGGTTGTTCCTCAACTTTTTTTTGAATATCAAAAAGTATCAACCGGAAAAAGTTGGGTATTAGTATAAATAGTGACACCAAAAAGTAGATTTGTAACTTGCACCATTTTTTGAGCATTTAGTTTAAAAGACTGCCTAATATGAAGCTCCAGAAAATCCTTGTTTTTGATTCATTTAGATATGAAATTGCTTAAAAACAATTTATAATTTAAATCCAGAAAAGTTTGTCAATTTATATTATTCAAATGAAATGAATATATCAAAAAGTAGCAATTAAATTGAAATTATAAACCTCTAACCCAACAGCTCAGATGAACTGCATTTTACCTCATTAATTGAGATACATCAGTAATAACATTGCAAGATATTGTAAAACAGTTATTTTTTTCTGTTATCAATGAAACAAAATCAAACAAGTATGAACTTTGCTAGGAACAAATCAAGGGATGATGATTTTAATATAAACTACAATTGTAATTTGAACCCTCGTCTAAAAATCTACTGGTTATTAATAGTGGGTCTTTTAAGTTTCTATTTTATATAATAATTTCTAAAGTTATAAAAGACATGACAAAAAAACATGAATGTTGTGAGAATAATATCAATTTTTATTATTGCATCATATTAAACTGCTCTACATAAGAGTCTTTTGAAACAAAGGAAGGCTTCATTTCATGACATAAAACTTTTGTAATGATATGCCTTGCTTTAGTTTCATAGACCAATTGGGAAGCTGCAGTTGTTAAATTTTACTGCCCTTTTGACACTTTGTGAGTGTGAAGGCAAATCAGGCAACTCTAATTTTGTTCCATTCATTGATGACTCCAGAAGTTCATAATCAGAAAATTCTTCTGTGTATCCAGGCTTACAAACTCCATTTTGGGACAAGTCAATCAATTGAGACCAATGTGTTGCATCAAAATTTATCTTTGATATTTTTTTAACCTCTTTCTGGTTGGCTCCCCACTCCTGAAAAAGTAAAAAAATCACTTACAATAAAAATCTAACCTTACTTGTCTTAATTTTTATAACGAAATTAAGATAGTACTTTAAAATGAAACTATAAATCAATGAAATCATTTTAATCAATATTATGTGAATTACTTACCTAATGGCTAAAATTCTTTTTTATAGCTTCTTCCCTCATTTCCAGTTTATCTGATTTCAGCAATGCATACAACATATTTTCTGGTAGCAGACCAAAATCATTATGTTGAATATTTTCAAATGCAATCTCCTGAATTTCAGGTTGTAGTTTCTTATTTCTTTGCAACATATTGAAAATATACAATTGCTGTTTATGAAATTTATTGTCCCTTTTAATTTCAAACCTGCTAACTGCATACACTCCAACAATAAACTGGATAAGGCTGTGTAGTTTGGAAAATATGGTTTTAGGGTAAATGCCTCGAGTCCATAAACACATTAGTCTGGTGGCTAATGTGAACCATCTTGCTTGATTTAAGGGCCCAATTTTCCATGCAGCATATCTAGGGTTGACTTTCCCTAGTGAAAATCCTTACTGTATATTCTAAAAGAAGTATCTGATAACCACTCAGATGAACTGTCTGTTTGATGCTAAAATATTGGATATCTAGAGGAGTAACTGGGTACAAATTTGACCTGGGGCAAATTATAATAGTCATTTGCACACAATCTCCCAAGTGGACCAATAAATGATGTTGGACTTCTTGTGCTTCCATCAATGTGCTTAAAAACAGCTCTGAACAGAAGCTCATTTTGATGTAGAGAGCAACCAATTGTGTGTAATTTTCTTTTTATTTGTTTCTCTAGAACAGTAACTAGCCCTGCTTCATAGCCAGTATTTGTATGGGTGTTGTTCAGTAAAACAGCCTTTGGGGTATCAACACTGTTATACTCCTGCCAAAACACTAGTAACCTCCTTTGCTCGAACAGCACCAGTTGCTCCAATAGCAGTGATTACTCTATCAATGAGGTATTTTCCGCTTTCACCACAAATTCATCTTCTTTGTGAATGTCAAATGGTGTTCTGCTCCCTTTGTTTTCTTTGTTTCTTTCCATCTGCCTCTGCAATCTCTTTATATAACAATGTAACTTTATCATGTCTTCCGTCAACACCAATACAAATAATTTTTTCTGCTTTATCAGTGTGTTTTTTATGGGCATTTTGTTTTGTTCTTTCTTTTGCACAGTCTATTTTAGATTTATGCAAAATTGTCTTCGATATTAACACTCAGGTTGAGAAGGCCCATAACCTGCTAATCTAAAAGAAAGGCATTTTGCAAGGCTTGCTCATAAGTTAGATGAAACATCACCCCTGATGAATTTAATACCATACTTAAGAATTTTTAAAAGGCTGTAAATACTCTTGGAATGTCTGGCAGGCTCACATTCTTCATAAATTTCTTCACTATTTGATAACGGGGAAAGAATAACATCCTGTCCATAAGTTGTGGAGACAATAGGAGATGAATCAATTTGTTTTTGTCTTTCTCCTTCCGTTACACTCCTTTTCGGTTTCTGAGGGGCACTTTTATCAACAGGTCCATGTTGGAAACTACTCTTGGGTCCTATTTTGGCCCTCTGGTCTTTTAAATATTCTGTCTTCCACTGGTAGCCGAAATATTAAATTTAACTTATGTTGAAAGAATACACCTAACCAACAGATCTCAAAATATTATTAAAATATTATTTCACATAGAAAAATATTACAATTTGCTTTCCTAACTTGTTTACATAAAATATAATTTTATTTTAGAAATTCATTTAAATTAAAATTTTTATGATATTGGGATTTAAATTCATTTAAAAAAGGAAAAGAAAAATAGAAAAATAACTTTACCTCTTATCTTTGAGAGGACAAATACAATGTGACTTGTTTGACAATTTTCTTTTTTACACTTCACATTTTTGTCTTTACAACTTAAAATTAGCAGTTGACAGGAACAAGAAGAAATGTCAAACAATGCATCCAGCTTTTTTACCGTAATTTTCTTTTGCTTTGAAGAGAGACATGTTATATTTATCTGATGCGCTTTCTTGAAGCAGGTCTTTTTCAATTTATTTACAATATACTTTTCACTTAACAGAGGCAAACGGAAATTAACTGCCTTCTAAATATCAATTATATTCTTTGCCATTAATTTCGAAATATCAAAGTTTAAGTTTGAACAAGTATTTTCTTTTAGAAAATAACTTTACTGGATGACTTATCGAAAAGTAGGAGGCTCTGATTTATCAAATGGACAAGGTGGTCCTCCAAATTTTGTAGCAGTAATACTGCGAGTAGAAAGTACACTTCATTTTCCAACCATTTTTATAAAAATATCTGAAAAAAATGTTTATTCTGTTATAAGAAATTAGACAAATTGAATTATAAATTCCAAAGTGAAATTATAATAAAATAGAAAAATATAATAAAAGATAAAATGATAAGTATGTATTTACTTACCTCACGAAATAAATGCAAATCACTTACGCTATAGTAGCATGCAAAAAAAAAAAGAAACTCGCTAATGAAAAATAATGTCTTCAAAAATTAAATTTAATTATATTAAATATCAGTGAATACAAAGCTATTTCTTTCTTTTTTCTAATAATTAAGTTTATTAAAATAAAAAAAAAGAATAGACTTAATTATTTTTGTGTTTTAAATCAACTAAATAAACTTGAAACAAATGTAAGCAAAAGCATGTGGAATGTTTCTGGTGCTGACTGAAAAAATAACTGCCTAAAACAAGCTCAAATTTATTTATAGTTTATAGAATCTTAAATGAAGTATTTTTGTAGTGTTTGCTTTTTAATTTACTTTTCTTTAATTTATCCAGAATTGCATGATTTTGAATAAAATAAAACATTTTATTAAGACTATTTTGTACATTTTTTTTTTCTTCAAAACCCAGTTTTAATCTGACCATCTTTCCAGTTAACACAGAGCAAAATTCAGAATATTCGATTATGTTACTAATTAAATGCATTTGTGCAAAAATTAGCAAACTTTTAGAGAAAAATATTTTGTGCAGTTATTCTTTGTTAATTAGCCACTTTCTCTGGGTAGAGTTAGGTGTGGTTTCAAAATCAACCTACCGTACTGTACGTTTTTATGTAAGGAGTATAGTGTTACTAACGATACTTTTGTCATTCTCTTTTACTTTTTAAACTTATTTATCTAGAAGATAAAGAGATAGTGGGAAAGAGGTTAGTCTATTGTACTTCGGTCTCTCAAAAAAAAAAAGGAACTTGCATGATACACAAGATACATGATAAAATCATTTTTATAAGTGAAAATTTTGGGGTTGCCTGATGTGCAAAATCACATGTTGCATGAGTACATAGAGTATCTGCTGTTTTTCACTTTGGCTTTTGCTCTTATTCTGTTTTGTTTTGATTTATTTGTTTTGTTTTTTTTTCACCTCATTTCTTCACGCCTTTCTATCTCCAACCTGTCCCCCAGTTGTTGCTCTTACTAAGTAAAACTCCTTTTTACTTACTACGCAACCTTGATGGCATTACAGTTATTGCTCAAGATCTTTTATTTTAGTTATCACTCACCTGAGGAACTTACTTGTTTGTTTGTTTTTTAAGTATTTTGGCTAGAAAAACTAAAAAAGAAACTAGAACCTTTGTGCCCACAAAAGGAAAAAAAGAAGAATATGGTGTTTTCAATGAATGGTTTTTCTGTTAGCACTGCTATTAATTTAACCTACCAAGACTCCAGTGATATTTATTTACAAGATTATAAGAATACATGTACCAAATACAATGTAGTATTAGTTACCGTTTTATAAAGAAATATGTAAATTCTTTTGTCTGTATTAATGTTATTAGTTATGATAGCTTTGTATATTATGTTATTGGTTAAACATTTATTGTTAGGTAGGCAATTTTATTTATATACACTGTTTATATTGGTTGGTATTCATGTAAAGACTATTAAAAATTATTATTTAATTTATTGACTTTTTTTTGTCAAATGTGGCTTTTGTAGATGTAAAAAATGTAAAATTCTGAACTGAAGGCACATTTGAACATTGGCCATAGAAATAGCAATAGACTTGAGACATTTCATCTCTGGGGAAAGGGGTTGTATAGTGGAAAATAGTTAATTCCTCTCCACCTCAAAACAAGGCTGCATAAATGATTTTGATCTGTGTCATGGTTGGAATTTGAGGATTGTGCCACTCCAGGCCAAATATGGCAACTGCTACTTTATATTTGTTCTGATCTGATTCTTGTTAAGATAGAACATGGCAGAAGGAATCGATACTAAGATATCTGGTATGTTAATAGTGTACCAATCCTTGTGCCTAACTCGATTACATTGAAATATTCACTGTTCCTTTCCCTCAAGGGAGAGTGTCTTGTGTGTCATCAACTATGGTCATTTACTCTTCTTTGAAAATTTCCACATTGACATTGCAGCTTTTTGAAATTATGTATTAAATGTCATGTAACTACTGACTGACTTGTTTCTTCCTTTTCTCTTTCAGTTAACAATATGGCTACTGCTCTTTTGTATAAACAAATTGCTGAATGGTGCTGCCTGGAAGCGGACAATGTTGTCTTGGACATTTGTTGTGGAACGGGCACCATTGGAATTACTCTTGCAAAAGTAAAAATAAATTTTGTCTTTTCCTTTTGTGATTGAATCAACTAATCAATAGGTAAAAAGGTTACTAGATGAAAAGAATTTTTAATGCATGGCACTATGATTGGGATACCCACATAGAAAAAGGAAAGTGTGATCTTGATCTGAATTATTTCTGTTTGATGCGGTGTCCAGACATAGAGAATTTCCAGTTGCTGGTCTATATTAAATCATAGTTGGAATCAAAGAAGTCAGTCCTGTTCTGCTCTTCATTGGGGACAGACATCCCTTCATGTCGTTCTGATGTTGTCAGTTTGCATTGCCAGCCTTGCCTCATGATATTGGGATTAGCAAAAGTTTGGTAGAGAGATAAGTCAAAGGGAAAAACTGAGCTGTTGGTCAGACATGGTAGAAGTTGAGGAAGCAAATCCCTGAAGTAAAATACCTATAGACAACAGTATTTCAGTTATCCTTTCTAGACATGGTGTGATATCTTTAAGGGCATTGGTGGTAGTTGAAAGGAAGTGACTCTGGTGGTTTGGAATTAGGATTAAAAAGGTTCATGTGAAAAAATTGAAGCATTGGAAGAGTCAAAAAAATTTAACAAAACTTTAAAATGAAAAACAAATTGAAATATGAGCGTGGAAAAAAAAAATGATTGTTTTTTTTTTGTTTGTTTTTTTTCTTTCTGATAAACAGAAATGCACATAAGAATTGTTAAGAGTCCCTGAAAAAGGTCAGAATGTAAAACAGTAGAAAAATTTGAAGTAAATAATTTTGTTTTTAAAAAGTTGACTGTGTTGGTATTTAAAGGTAATTGTCAGCCGAGGACCAAATTTAAGTAAAACCAAAAATGTAAACAATAGAATTTGAAATTGAGTTGAATTTTGGAAATCAACAAGCAAAGAGAATTCATTGGAATTCAACAAACAAAATGAAATTCCTTAGAAATAATTTTTAAAAATTACTGACAGGAAAAATTATTGTTTGATAAAACAGCCGATTGTCAAGAAATGTGGAAACAAACTTTGTTTTGAAATACTAGACTGCTTTGTTTAGGGTCAATGTCATGTCTCCAGGGTTGAAGAAAATAATTAATTGAGGAATATGTAATGAGCTTTGAGGGGTAGTGAGAGTTGGACAAGATGTATATTAACTGAATGACCGGTTGAAGCAGGCAGTAGGAGCTGCCGTTTGAGACAAATCAACAGCGAACAAGGGAGCTGTTGAACCACAGGTGACCTGCCTCTGAGGTTGCCCATTTTGTGTGAATGTTTAATCCGCTCCAAGTTTTACAGGCAAAAGAAACTGTGTTATGATAGTCAAATGGGAATAGTTAATTTTGTTGAATCAATGATTGTATAAACCAATTGAAAATTAAACCAGTGGCCTTCTTTATGACATTTGTGTTTTCACTGGTGGAAACATTCTTATTCTTTTTCATAGCACAGTTACGCCAACTTGATTCACCGCCTAAGTGCGGACAAAAATTTGATCTTCACTACACTGTGATCAAAGAACAACGTGGGCAGAGCAGATGAAGGAACAAAACAATCAACAGATAACCATCAATTGACTGGCGCCAGTACTTACTGATGTAGGAACAACCCAGGATTGAATCGGACTGTCCATATTATAATGGCATTTCTTTTCAACTGTTGTTTCTTGTGAACATGTAGTGTGCTTTTCCAAGACTTTGGGGTATGCCAATGTGAACAAGAATTGAGATGCAGCATGGTGTGATCATTAGCCCTTCAGTAAATAAAAATGAAAATAATTCCTGTCATACTTCAAGACAACTCATTTCTAAATGTTTTTTGTAATTTCTTTTTGTTCTAGCATGTTAAGAAAGTAATTGGTGTGGAAATGTCAGCGAGGGCTGTTGAAGATGCCAAACGAAATGCAGTCCTCAATGGTGAGTTTTTAATCTTTATCACACTGCAGGCGACAATAGTCACCACAGAATTCTCTCCCTTTGCTACTCTAGACACATTCTGTCGCCTTGAGATGGTTGCTATAAATAAACACTTGTCAGCTGTTGTTCCGGTATTTTAAGCTGGAAATCGCCTACTATTGCTTTCGAAGAAGTTTAAATTTCCCTTTTCCAACACCATTTTGAATTTTTCAAGACTATATGATGCGTAACACCAATTAAACCCACGTTAATTTTTTTGTGATTTTTTTTTTTTTTTTTTTTGTTTTGTTTTGTAAACAAAAATGTCCGTGTCAATATCCAATAAAGCATTTATTAAGGAGTTTTTCTTTGATTAGGACTCCGATGATGATTTTGAAGGCATTACTTGAGTGGATATTGACTGTACATGGAGGAAACCACTAACGGCTGCTATCTTATTCATTGAGTAGCCTTTTTTGTTATCTTTTACAATTTTTTCCTGTTTTTACTTATCAAATTCAGCAAAACAAAATCATTATGGCATCAAAGAAGATCCTCATTTACCTGAAAGGAAAATTATACTGAACTATTTAGCTATATTATGATGTAATGTTATACATCTGTCTATATTTCTGAGATGAGGTATTATGTACACTATTTACATTATTCGGACTATTGTCACCATATTTATCACAATGTTTCGTCCGTTGTACGCTCCAACCTTCTTCTCAAGGACACATGGCACTGTAGGTGAAGGCGTTGGTTAGATCCAGTGACAGGACCCAAAGAGTGTGAGTTCAATACCTGGTTAAGGCAGTGGAGAACTTGGACAGGAGAATTAACAGGAGATAACTGATATCCATGGCACGTGGAACTAGAACAGTCTACCCCATTGAGTGAAATAAAGGGTTCAGTTCAACATTCCAACCACCTGAAGAAGGCCAGAGCGTACAACAGCCGAAATGTTGTAATAAATATGGCAACAAAGATGAGGACAATAGTTTGAATAATGTAAATAGTGTAATGTTATACAGTACAGTAATTTTAGTGTGATTTTTTTTTTTTCAATAAACAATGCAAATTTTAAATATTTTATCTTATAATTTGTAACCAGCAGTATTATGGTGTTATATACACTTTTATCTATTTTTTTGTAGATTTTTTTTTTTTTTTTTTTTAGAATCTTTTACAATATAAAAATATTTAGTTTTTACTTATTGAATACAGTAAAAACATTCTAAATTTTGTTTGTGGTAATTCATAATTAGAATTCTGGTTTGAATATATTTTCCATTCAATGGATTTAATACTAAAGATATTGACTTTACTATCTGCCCTGTGGAGTGATTTTTGTTGTTGGAAATCTAGTCAGCTATGTGATCTATGTGATATACACTTAGGTAATCATGTATCTTTTGATACATGACTGATGAGGCAGATTTTTTCCCACAGTAGGTTACCATTTCCTTCTGCAGTAGACCAGTTGCCATCCAAGGCTATAGAACATGTTCTCTCCTGCTATTTACCAACGGCTGTGGGGAGAGAAGGATTCATACACTTTCCCAAGGGTATTAACACGTAAGTGAATGTAATGGATTCGACTGGAATTCAAACTCGGCTCCCTTATTCCTCAATCCAATCTGCTATCCATTACTCCACTGGAAATCCAGATAG